GTATCAGCTCACCTCGCCTCGCCTCGCCTCCTCTGGCGTTTCTCCTTTCTCCTCCACCTTGAGTGAGGAGTGAAGCACGTGGGCGTCCTTTCCTCCCTCCTCTCCTCCACCCGCTCCTCCTCACCTCTCTCCACCACTCCACTCGCCCCGCAACAAGCCTCCACTCCACCCCTTCACCATTCCAAGTGGCGATATCTCCTTTCCTCTCCAAATCTCTCTGATTCTCCCCTCTTCTCACCTCATCCACTATTCCGTCCCAGTCCCTTCGCCTCCATGGCTCCAAGCCTCAACTTCAGGAGGAGAAGCTGCAAATGCAGTGCAGCGATTCCGTGGCAAGTTGGTAACCCGTAGCTTGGCAAGTGCACCACCCTCCCCTTCGCGCTGGCGTCCTGTCACTGATCCATCGGCCTGACACCGTGCTTCCTCCCAAAGCCCGTCGCCGCCATTGCCTGCTATAGGTTCACTCCCCTGCTTGCAATTGTCTGCCGCTTCTGCACAATCTTGCTTCCAAACGTTTGTTCGTTCACCCCGGCGGACCAATTGAAGTGTCTAGCAGCTAAAATCTCCAGCAACTAAAGCTTACCATCGTAGTTTGTGTCGGCTAACACAATTTGTGATTCTCGGAGCGACTTCGCGTAGTCGTTCTTACCTTCATCGTTAGGATTGTCTCTATTCTGTTCGACATCCTTAGCGCTATACCACAATGTGTTTCGACAATTCTTGGCTAGCGGCCTCTTCCCGCGTCCAGCAGGACAGGAATCAAGCCGACACACAGAAACTAGTCAGGCGATGGGGTTCAGAGCTCTCCCTTAACCCAGACTCGAATAACTTTTGGGCTTCGGAAGAATCAGATTATATCGAGGACGCTTCGCCTGAGCCTTCACCTCATTCGTTTATCGCGGAGGATCTACCATGGGCGAAGCGCATGCTGTCGTCTCACCGCCGGGAGTCCGTGGACCTGACCAACGACCTTCCAGACGAGTGCTTGTCGCACATCTTTTCCTTCCTACCCAACGCCAACGACCGCGGCTCCTGCGCTCTCGTCTGCCGTCGTTGGCTTCAGATCCAGGGCCTTCTGGGCTGGAACGGTGCTGCTCCCTTCGCCATAGGTCCGTTGACGACGAAAACAGAGGCAAATACTTCCGACGCTGCTGATTCCGAGAAACAGTCGGTACCGAGTACCGCTGGTGACTTGTCGCGTTGCCTAGAGGGCCGGCATGCCTCGGACACGCGGCTTCTCTCGATGGCCATCGGCCTACCTAGCCGCGGCGGACTCAGCCGCTTAGTGGTTCGTGGGGACCGTCTCGCAGCGGTTTCGGCAATCTCCACGCCGACGCGCCTCACCAATCTCGGCTTTCAGGCGATTGTCGGCGCGAGTCCCGGGCTGCTGTCGCTGACTCTCTGGAACTGCCCGTACGTCGACGACGAGGTGCTCCGGATGCTCGCGTCCCGTTGCAAGGCTCTCCGCCGGCTCGATATAATGAACTGTCCGCGTGTCACTGACAAGGGCCTGTCCGCGATCGCGCGTGGCTGCCACGAGCTCCTGAATCTCAGCGTCTCAGGGTGTCCTCGCGCGTCGAACGCGTTCCTCGCCGCCATGGCCTCCGGCTCGAAGCGTTTGGTGTCTCTAGCGCTGTCGGACTTGCCCCTGGTGAACGAGTATGGATTGAAACTCATGGGATCTTCTTGCAAGGAACTGAAGCGGTTGCGACTGTCAGGCAAGATTGGCCTTACAGACGCTGGTTTGAAACTGGTGGGTGAACACGTGGGTGGTCTTCAATGGCTGAAGCTGTCAGATTTACCTTTGTTGACAGAAGAGGGTTTCAGAGGAGTTGGTCAGTCAAAAGGATTCCAGAGCCTGCAATCCGTCACGTTCGCCGGCTGCAAGCAGCTCACAAACAAGGCTTTAAGGGCGATCGTTGAGGGGTGTTGCAGTGTGAAGAGTCTCAGTTTGTCCAAGTGTCCCGCCGTCTCGTGCTGTGGGATTAAGGACGCTCTTGACGCAGCAGGATCCCTCGAGTCGCTAACTCTGCACAAACTCTCCAATCTTTCCTGTGCGCGGGGTTTTGAGGAGGCGAGTCAGCAGCAGCAGCAACATGAGGGGGGTTGCAAGGGCGGGTGCTGCATATGGAGCGGATCCTGCTCCAAACTTACCAGTCTGTGCATCAGCCACTGCGACGGTGTGGATCGCCGGTGTCTCGAGATGCTGGGTCGCAGCAACGCCAGCCTCCAGTCTCTCGAGTTGGCGGGTCTTTCGGGCGCAGAGGACAAGGGCGTCACTAGTCTAGTAGCAGGCTGCGGGTCGAAGCTGTCAAGCGTGGACCTCAGCGGCTGTTCCCAGATTACAGACAAAGCTGTGGTTGCTATTTCACGTTGCTGTGGCAACTCAATGAAATCCCTCTCTCTGGATGGCTGCCCCAATGTGACCGACCGCAGCTTGAGAGCCATAGCCTCATCGTGCACAGCTCTTGAAGACTTGGACCTTTCCATGTGCGGGATCAGTGACCGTGGACTGTCTGCTCTGGTCAGCAGCGTGGGGCCAACGCTTCTCAATCTCTCCCTAGCCGGATGCCAGGGAATGACTGACAAGAGTCTGAAGAAGATCATGACACAGTGCCAGAAGCTCACTGGACTCAACTTGAAGAATTGCCCTGGCCTGACCAAAGAGGCAATTAGGTCCATTCAGCTGAGTTCTCACTGTCTCAGTGGGCCAAGCTGCCTATTCGTCGATGATGCGTTGTAGATGGATATATGAAAGTGTCGCATTGCCATAAGTTTATATATTCAATACATGTAGACTGCCATGCAACTGGATACATGTCAGAATTTCAGATATATATTGCAAGCTTGAAGAGCAACCCTTGTTTTCATATTACGGAACCAGTTAGACAACCTATATAACATGATGATTATTTGAGACGCTCGTCCTAGGTTTCCTCCTAGCTAGACCAGCTCTACATTAGTCTGTACACTCATTGTATTCGCAGTTGATTCAGTCACAGCCTCGTTATTCGTTTACCTGCGCACTCTCTTTTACAACTCATAACACGGCAGGCGGGGGTATGTAACCAGCAACCATATTAAGGATGAAGACGAGTAATGTACGGTACTTGAAAGTACTATACCCATATGGACTAGCCGCACTTCAACATTTCACAAGCCACCTTCAATAAAGTGCGAGCAGTTAACTAATGGAGGATCTGGCTTCCGGTTTCCAGTATTAAAAGATAAGATAGCAAAGCAAGCAAATATGACATTCTAAAATATACAAACCCTAGAAAGAAAAGAGGAAGAAACAAACCCTAATGTCATAGCTGATGGGCGACTACAACAGCCAAGGTCTGGTTATACGTCTGCAAAACAAAGATGGGAGATTTAAGGAACATGCCCACCATCTAGCCACAGACAATCATGGAAAAAAGCACACGCAAAGAGCGTTCAAAGGCTGGCAACAGACCTTCAGGTAGTTGATGTAAGCAGCAGCGCTTTCTAGAAGCTCCGCCACGTCAGGCTCCGGACCAACCAGTGAAGACGGTATCGATTTTTGAAGCATTCTTAGGCATTGCCTGCACGACATCGACATGGCAAGTCATGCTTCATAAGGCTAAGGTCGCCAGGACTACTCCATATGACGAAAAAAAAAAAAAAAAACAAGCTTACTTGAGCTGCTCTCGTCTTTTGTTCCACTCTTCTGGAGACAGGTCTTCATGATGAGCATAAGGAGCTCCCTCTTCCTCTCTGTCGTCCGTAACAGTCGAACCGAATTCGTCGCTCACAGCCTGCGTCTGCATGCCGAACTGTTCCAAATCCCTCTCAGACCGCTCAGAAACTTGCGTCTGCGCAGCATTATCTTGTACGAGGTCCATCGCTTTAGGTTATCGCGCGAATACTGACACTGGAAACTCACGCAGGAAGTCCCTAGAGCGGCACGACTGACTGAATCAGAGAATCGCAAAATGCAAATGACACAAGTAGGCAAGGTGAGGGGATACTGAAGGGATATTGCACAATCTGAATCCAAGTTACAGGGAACTGGTACGTATTGGCTCGCTGAAAGAGGTGAAACTGAAAGCACGACAGAAGAAAGAATGGCTAAGGTAAGACGATAGAAATCCAGTTGCAGCACGGAACGGCTAGGATTGGACTAACGAAGCTAAGAATTATCCCCATCAGTGCGGGAGTTGATGCCTCATTTGAGTTATGGCGAGTGGGGGATGATTGGCTTGCACAGCATATCAACGCATGCCTGATGTTCCCTCAAGGCGGATCGGATCATATCAGGGACAACACGTATTGCCTCAGTGGTGTGCGGATACACCTGGGCTCCACTAATTTCAAGCTCTGGAAAATGTTTTCAGAGACACCCTAGACCAGATTCGGCCGTATCTTTCAGACACCCAGAATCCCAACGAAATTGAGGACGCTTTCCTCAACGGCTGTTTAAAACAATAAATCCCTCAGTGGATCAGGCTCACCACCCACTCTGAGGGGAAAATTTTCTAGTTGCGACCTTCATTGCGTCGAGCCTTCACAAGGAGTCCGAAACTAACCCACTTCAAAATATTTTTCAATATGTCTAACCCTTGGTCCCAGACATAATAAGGGTAGCTACCCGCGAGTGCCCAATTTAGGGCCTTGAAATTAGTGGAGCCCAGGTGTATGACGACGCGGCGGATGTCCCGGACCCGAGGCTCGAGTAGACCACGGGTCACCACGAATTTGCAACGAGAGAAAAGTTGCAAATACATGAAATTTGTAACACAATACATTTCCCATTTTTGCCTCGTAATTTCCTTACAAAATAGGTTAAGGCCAGAAAACACCATGTCAGCTTAACCACAAGCACAACCATTTCATGGAGATACTGCAAGATTTCAGCCACAGAAGAGACTCTTTAGACGCATCCTTCCAAGCCCTCATCCTTTCAAGCCCAAAAGATATCACATATGTCGCTCGCACGATAAACACCAATTCGAAACCAGAAACCACAGACGGACAGTCTAATGAGAAGCAAACCAAGGACCCAACGGCCCATTCGTCTGCGGCCCACTGGTGGAAGGCAGACTGCTATTGGCCGAGGCCACAGCAGGCACTCTGCTACCAGGAACAGCACAAGCCACCGCAGCATGATGAGTCAGACCGCTGGCCGGATGACTCAGCGCATGCGGCGGCAAGCCGTTTGCAGGATGAACAGGCCGATTGCCCATTCCCACTCCAGCAGCAGCAGCAACTCCCGCTCCCATCCCGGGCCCCATCCCTGGAACCCCAGCCACAGCAGGGCCGGCAACACCTGGTCCGGCCAAGCCAGCAGCAGGCATGGGTAAAGAGGGCATGGCCCCGGGGTGCGAGGGTGTGGGACGGTTGGAGAGATAGAGAGCACCCAGGGCAGGCGCAACGAGGAGAGATTGTGAGGCTGACGCTGCTGCAGAGCCTGCAGCCGCGCCCGCGTGGTCCAATGAGGGGCCGACAGCTAAGCTGTCAGCCAGAGCTGCTGCTGCTGCCTGTTGCGGTGGTGGGGATGGCTGCTGCTGCAGGTGTGTGTGCTGCTGCATGTGTGCCTGCGAGTGCACCTGCTGCTGCTGTTGCTGCAGCTGCTGTTGCGGCGGCTGCTGCTGCGCTTGCGCAACTGCCTGTTGCTGTTGCTGCTGCTGCTGAGGCTGGTGACCCTGCTGCTGCCTCTGCTGCTGCAGCAGCCGAACCTGCCTGAGCCCCTCGTCATGAATCCGAGCCAGAGTGTCAAGCTCGGCAAGCGACAGATTCTCCAACCCAGCACCATACAGCGGCGCGTGCCGAGACATCTCCTCCTGAAGAGATGCCTCCAGGGTTTGGATATAATCCTGGTGGGCATGCAGCTTTGCCTCCATGCCATCAATGTATGCCTCGTATCGCTGCACCTGCTCCTCCTTCTCGCGCAGGCCCCCCTCCGTCTGCCCCACCGTCCGCGTCAGCCGCCGAACCTCCTCCTCCAGGGACTGCCGAGCCTCGTCGCGAGACACGGTTTCCGTGGCAAAGCGCTTGACCTCTTCATCGAACCGCTTCCTCGCCTGCTCTGCTGCCTTGAGGCGCTCTGCCAGGGCGTTCTTCTCCTTCACCACTTTCTGTTGGTTTTTAGGAGGGGAGCAGGGAAGAGGAGTGGGAGCGGGAAGGCGTAGGGAGTCGGGGGGGAGAGGGTGAAGACAAGAGGGGAGGGAGGAGGAGGGGGAGGAAGGAAGGAGGCACATGGCATGTAACACTGGTGCGACATCATACGGAATCCAAGAGGCAAGAAAGGCTGGCTTCACATAAAAGTCAGACTGAATGAATCGCTCTCCTACGATTCTTTTCAAGCGGCTTAAGCGGGAACAGAAAGAAGCGAAGACGAGAAAGAGAAAGGCTCACCTTGAGCTCCTCCCGCTTGCGCGACTTGAGCTGCGTGAGCTGCGATTCGCTCTCCCTCAGCCGCTCCGCCAGCTGGCGCTTCTCCCCCGCCAGCTTGCTCACCGCGTCGTCCTTCTCCGCCTTGGCCCACTCCACCGCGCCCTCCATCTCCCTCACTCTCTCCACCGCTTCGCGCCTCTCCTTCGCTCCCTTCTCTGCTTCAGCCTTCAGCTCAGCCTGCACAGAGGAGGGAACGAGGGTTAGTACGGGACAACGGGGGAAGAGAGAGCCTGATTGAGCCCTGCCTGTCTTTCTCCGCCTTGGTCCATTCCACTGCGCCCGCCATCTCCCTCAGCCGCTCCACCGCTTCCCTCCTCTCGCTCGCTCCCTTCCCTGCCTCCGCCTTCACCTCAGCCTGCAGAAAAACACGGGGACGAGTGGCATGTGGGAACCGAACCGGGGAAGAGCGGGCCACAGTGAGAGCCTGCCCTCAACTTGACCCTGACCTTGCATCACCCTGCCCTCACCTTGAGCTTCCCCACAGACGCCTCTGCGTCGCTCAGCTTCTGCTGCAGGCTCGCCTTCTCCTGCCCATGCCGCTCCACCTGCCAGAGCGTTTTGACTACACCAGCCCAGTCCCCATACCCCAAAGCTTCCTGCCCCCAACACCACCCGTTTCTCACCTTGAGCTTCCCCACAGACGCCTCAGCCTCGCTCAGCTTCTGCTGCAGGCTCGCCTTCTCCCGCCCGTGCCGCTCCACCTGCCCCTGCCCTTCCGCCCTCGCCGCCCGCAACTCCCCCTCCGTGGCCTGCAGCTGCTGCCACACCACTGCCCTCTCCTGCACCGCCACGTCAGCCGCCTCGCGCATGAGAGACAGCACTGGCCGCGCCACCCCCTCCTCTTGCGCCTGTGCAGGGCGATGGGGGGGAGAGGGGGGAGGAGGGGGGGCGGGGGTTGGAGAGAGTGGGGAAGGATGTGGGAAAAGGGGGGGAAAGGCGAGGGTGGCAAAGAGGGTATGGCTCAGTTGAGAAAAGAGAACGCTTTTGAGAATTCACAAGGGGAAGGGGAGGGCGGGTACCCAGGCAGGGAGCCAATCAGGAAAAGAGAACCCATTCTTTGAAGTGCCTCAAAGATTGAGTCGGAGACAAGAACCAAAGAGTATGATGAACCGGTTTGAGGGAAGGGGATGGTTGGGGAAACGGTTGGGAGGTTTGAGGAAACGGTTGGGAGGGGAGGGTTGAGAGGAGAGGCTTGGGAGGAAAGGCTTGGAAGGTCCAGACATTCATCAGACTAGCACTCATCACACACAGCCACAAAGACTCACGAGGAACAAGAGGTCGTCAAGACCCAGCTGCCCTTCCGGCACCACCCGCACCGCACACAGCGCACCCATCAAGCAAAGGCACAACCCAGATTCAGCTGCCCTTCCAGCACCACACACACAGCCCACAGCGCATTCATCAAGCAAAGGCACAACCCAGATTCAGCTGCCCTTCCAGCACCACACACACAGCCCACAGCGCATTCATCAAGCAAAGGCACAACTCACCAGGAATGACAAGATATCCAGACCAAGCTCCCCTTCCGGCGCGCCTCGCTGGCAGCTCGTCACTCGCGCCACAAGCCCTCTCAATATCCTCTCCCTGCGCCCTGCGTCCCCATACACCTTGTACAGCACCGCATACAGCGTGCCCACAAACTCCCGCACGCGCTGCTCCTCACTCATCGCCAGCGCCTCTGCGAGCCCGATCACTGTGGGGAAATCCGTGTCTTCCAGGCCGGTGCCTAGCCCTGAGGAGCTGGACGGGACAAGGGCGTTTCCAGAGGGGTCGAGGGCGGGGGAAGAGGACGGGGTGATGGTTGCCCCTGCTGCTGCTGCTGCTGCGGCGGCGGCTGCTGCTCCGGCGGTGCAAGTGGAGCTGCAGGGCTCGAGACACCGCTCATGCTGTTCCTGCTGCTGTTGCTGTTGTTGCTGTTGCTGCTGCTGTTGCTGCTGCTGCTGCTGTCGCCTTTTCTTTCGAGAAAGCTGCTGCGCCGGCTGCTGCTTCCCCTGCTGCTGCCTCTGCTGCTGCTGCTGGGGTTGCGGCTGCTGCTGCTGTTGCTGCTGCTGCTGCTGATGCTGCTGCTGCTGCTGCTCATCCCCCCCTACCTCACTCCCACCTGTCGCCGATCCCGTCAGGGCCGGCAACCCAGCAGCACCCGCCGCCATGCCACTCCCATCCATCCCGTCCATCCCTCCTCCCGCCGATGCAGCAGACAGCGAGGCAAGATGCTGAGACCGGCGCCTCTCCAGCACCATCACCATCGCCTGCTCCCCAAACGCCCCTCGCGCCACCGCCCGCTCAAACACCGCCTGCGCGTTCCCGCGCAGACGTGGCAGCGTCAGCATCTCCATCAGCATGTCCACGTCAGCGACACGCCAGCAGGCGGCGGCTGCTGCTGCCATGACAGCAGCCTGCTGTGCTGCTGCCAGCTGGAGCTCTGCTGCTGCCGCGGCAGCTGCAGGAGAAGACGAGGGGAGCGCCGGGGCGGGGGAGGAGGAGTAGGGGGAGAACGCGGTCAGAGAATTTGCAACCCCACCAGCAGCGCTGCTGGTAAACGCGCCCCCAGGAGATCCCCCCGCGGACACCCCAGCAGAAGCGCTACCCCCTGCCCCTGCCACCCCACCTCCAACTCCACCACCACCGCCCCCGCTCGCCATCACCCCGGCACTCCCCCCTCCAGCTGCTGCAGCCGCCACCGCCGCCGCAGCAGCCGCAGCAGTCCCACTGTTAGCCGAGGCCGAGGCAAACGCAGCGAGACTCTCTAGAGCTTCAGGCGTGAGCGAGTGCTGCAAGTGAGAGAGGTCTATCTGCCCCATAGACGCCATCTGGGCCATGGGCAGCAGCGAGGGGAGGGACGCGGCTGCCGCAGCCATTGCGGAGGAGAGGAGGTGTGGGTTGAAGGGGCGCGTGTCGGCGTCTATGTCTCTCAGCATGGCCATGGCTATGTCTTCGCGGGCCACTACAGAGGCTCGGAGGGCGTGGAGTACGCGCGGGGAGACGGCGGGACCCAGCTGCTGCAGCCGCTCCCGCACTGCCCGCACCTGGGAGAGGAGGGGAGAGGAGTAAGGGAAGCCGGGGGAGGATGTGCCTTGTGGCGCCTCAAGTCAGTGATCTCACTGACAGACTACTGCAACAAGTGGGAGAGTGATAAGGGAGAGAGGAGGCAGAGCAGGAGGAAGGAACTTACAGCAGGGGCGAGCTGCTGGCACTCAGCTGTGGCTTTAAGCACGAAGCTGAGGGCGGAAGAGGCTTACAGCAGCAACAACATGCAGCTTATACAGAGGATAACACTTGAGGGAGGAGCTTACAGCAGGGGCGAGCTGCTGGCACTCGGCGGCAGCTTTAAGCACGAAGCTGAGAGCGGCAGCAAGGGCATCGTCGGTGGTGTGTGGCAGCAGCAGCACCGCCTCCTCGAGTACCAGCGACCAGGTGAGCGGGTCTAACTCCATCTGCACCAGCGCTCCCACCACCTGAAGAAGTGAGGGCATGAGGAGGACAAGTGCGAGATAATATATTATCTGATTTTAGAATTCACCTGAACCAGCACTCCCACCACCTGACAGGGACAGGGAGAGGGAATGCGGGGCAGTGAGAGGGAAGGGAAGCAAGCAAGGAGCACTGTGTTTAGGCACCCTCATAGTTGTCTCATCACATGCAGCAGCAGCAGCAGCAGCGGCGGCGGCGGCGGCAGCGGCGGCGGCAGCGGCGGCGGCAGCGGCGGCGGCAGCGGCGGCAGCAGCAGCAGCGGCACTGCCTCCACAATCCGACATGTGTCCAAGAATCTAATCTGCATCAGAGGCTCGAGCCAGGCTGTCGGAGCCGCTGCAGCAGGTTTCTCTTTAGTTGAATCAGCAAGTCAGTTTGTGACCAACTCTAACGTGGCATCGACAACACTCACCGGCAGCTGCATCATGGGCTCGGCATTGGGCTGTCTCAGTCGCTGCAGCAGCGCCGCTGCAGCCTCGCCATGCTCCTCCACATCCACCAGCCTCGGCACCAAGCCTAGGATCTCGGCTTGGAAGGCCCGGGGCGCGTGCTCCAGCACCATCGCCACCTTGCGGGCGGAGTGCGGGCGGCGCCGCAGCGGCGGGTCGGGGTATGGGTAGGCCTGGGCTTGCGGCACGGCGGTTTCGAGGGCGCGGAGCGAGTCGACTATGATGCCCAGCAGCTCGTCTGCCTGCTCCGGCCATTTGATCTGAGGGGGAAGAGGGAGGGGAAGAGGGTGAGGAAGTGGGTGTGGAAGTGTGGAAAAACGATAGTTTCGAGGGCCGGGAGGGAGTCGACTATAATGTTGTGTAGCTTGTCCGCCTTTTCGGGCCATTTGATCTGCGGGGAAGGGGAGCGAAGGGGAGAGGGGCGAGTGAGAGTGGGCAGGAGTGAGAGAGAGTGGAAACGGTGACTTCAAAGATACAGAGCGCATCGACTACTTTGATTATTCTTTGGAGGGAGAGGGATGGATGAGAGGGAGGGCGGAGAGGGAGAGAGGAGGAGTGGAGAATGGGAGAAAGGGGGAGGGATGGAAGGAAAATTGGACTGTCAAAGGGGATGCATTGGAGTTTAGTCAAGAACATGCAAGGCGGGGGCAATGGAAAGGCCTGCTACGCTACAAGGCTGCTACAAGACAATCTAGACGAGCGCTGCGGAAACGGACCGAGCCAGGTGCAAGGAAGGGCACGCCAGAGTCAGCAGAACATACCGATGTGGGGAGCTGTCGCTGCCCCCTCTGTTGCTGCTGCTGCTGCGAGCTCTCTCCGTTCACACTGGTCACTGCAGACCCACTACTGCTGCTCTCCCCCTCCACCACTGCATTCACCCTCCCCCCCGCGCCCTTCCCCCCCACCTGCGCGCCAAACCCTTCCCCAGCACCACTCCCCGTCACAACCCCACTACTACTGCTGCTGCTGCCACTCCCCCCTGATCCCAACACGCCCCCTGCTGCCCCCGCGCTCGCTCCCTTCCCTCCTCCCCCACTGCTTGTGCTGCTTCCGCCCCGCCGTCCCCCCCCACCCCCATTAACCCCGTATCCGCTGCCATAGCTGCTGCTCTGCACGGCCGCGTCGGATCCCCCCGCTCCCCCGTGCCCCTGCTCTAGCCTTTGCGCCACTGACAGCTCCTGGAAGGCGGAATCCGCGGCGTCTCTCCGCCCCCCTGACGCGCCACCCGCGCCCCCGCCGCCCCCGCGCTTCCCCTCGCGGGTGGCGGGGGCGGAAGGGGGGGCTGACGCGGGGAGGGATGGCGGAGGGGTGCAGGCGGACGGGGCGAGCGGAGGCGTGGTGGCGGAAGGGATGGGGACTGGAAGAGTGGGGAGGGAGGTTGCAGTGTCGTCTGGTGGTCAATGTTGAGGGCAAAGGAAAAAGGGAGGCAGCATAAGTCGTACACACACAGACATACACATGCACGCATACAGACCCAGGTGCACAGACACACACATGCACGCACAATCACACACACGCACACAGAGAAACGGAGACACAGAAGCAACGCGGTGACGTCAGTGGTGGGAGACTGGGGTAGAGTGCACAGCGAGGCACTTATGAGAGGCACACAAACAATTCCGTGTGGACGCAGATCCACAATGGCCCACAGCACATTCACCCCTATCAGCAGATTCCCCCAAACCACTCGTCACCACTCGTCACCACCTCTCACGACCCCTCCCCACCCCTCGCCACTGCTCACCTGTGCCAAAGAGACGGCCAGCGTCTGCGTCGCCCTGGGAGGGCGCGCGCTGCTGGCAGCACTCCACCATGATATCCAGCAGCAAGTCTACTAACCTCACCACTCCCCACCACTCCCCACTGCTCACCTGTGCCAAAGAGGCGGCCTGTGTCTGCATCGCCCTGGGAGGGCGCGCGTTGCTGGCAGCACTCCACCATGATATCCAGCAGCAAGTCTACTAACCTCACCACTCCTCACCACTCCCAACTCCTCACCTGTGCCAAAGAGGCGGCCTGTGTCTGCATCGCTCTGGGAGGGTGCGCGCTGCTGACAGCACTCGACCATGATATCCAAAAGCAAGTCCACTATGGCCTGCTGCAGCACCTTCACCCCCATCAGCAGATTCACCAGCGACGGATGCTCCCCCTCCCCCTGCCCCTGGCCCTGTGCTCCCCCCTGCCCCTGCGCCTGCCCCTGCCCCTGCGCTCCCCCCTGCTCCTGTCCCCCCCGGCCCTGGTTCTGCCCTCGCTGCTGCCCGCCCCTCCCTCCCTTGCCATACCCGCCTCTTCCCCCCGCGCCAGACGCGCCGGCCGGGGCGGAAGCGGAAGCAGAGGCGGAGGCGGGCTGCGCGGGGGGGAGGAAGAGGCGCTTGATCTTAGTAGGGTCGTCCAGGTAGGTGCGCAGGCCGCCCAGGAAGGTGGCCACTGCGCCCGCATCCATGAGTAGCTTCTCCCGCAGCGTCACCTGCAGCTGCGTGGGATCCAGCAGCAGGGGGGAGCTGTCCCCGTAGCTCAGATGGAACCCTGCGCGCACCAGCAGCGAGCGGAAAATATCCTCCTCGTCCCCCATCAAACCCCCCGCCGCCCCCGCCGGTGCCCCTCCCGTCACAGCCCCAGACGACCCCCCACCACCACCACCAGAAGCAGCGGCAGACGCAGCATCAGAGGCAGCAGCAGAAGCCGCCACGGCGGCAGCAGAACCGGCGGAGGAGGGCGGGGCAAGGGAGGAGGAGGAAGGCATGGTCCCCAACCCTCCAGCACCCCCCGGGCCTCCTGGTCCGCCCAAGCCCACCTCCCCGTCATCACTATCTAACAGCTCTTCCCCGTCTGTGCTGAGCCCGTCCCCATCCTCGTCCTCCTCCTCGTCCTCCTCCTCCTCCTCGTCTTCCTCCTCGTCGGACATCATCACCTGCCCAGGCACGCCCTGTGTGTGGCCGAGGGTGGGGAAACGAAAAAGCAAAGGTTGGAAAATCTGAAGGTTAGAAAGTTTTTATCCACGCAGGGGGGTAGAAAAGTTTTATCCACGTAGGGGGGCTAGAAAAGTCTTATCCACGTACCTCCTCCCCTGCCCCCGTTCGGATTGGACCCAATTCGCCATGGAACCCTGACAAAACCCTCTACCGCACACACTGCACGAGTCTTAGTGATGCGCCAACAAGGTAATTTCGAGCCCACTAACAACTCACTTCAGATCAGCCTAAACCGGCAAGCATAACCCCCATAACCCCCAACCACGTACCCCAAACCTCAACTTGCAACCGCGTACCTCGCACCCTCTCTCGCCTGAAGGTCCGAGAACTCGAACTAGGGGCAGCAGTCGAGAATATCACACACCAACACCACGGTATCGCGCACCACTCCCCCCTGTCCCACTCCCCCCTGCCCCACCGCCCCCTGTCCCACTGCCCCCTCCCGCTGCCCCCTGCCAGCCCCACCGCCCCCTGTCCCACACCCCCAACCTCCACGCCCTCTCACCTCAAGATCCGAGAACTCTAACCAGGGGCAGCAGTCCAGTTGAGAATATCGCACACCAACACCACGGTATCCCGCACCAGAAACCCGCCCTCCGGATCCAGCAGCTCCGCGACCTTCATGAGCTGCAGCACGCTGTTGTTCCACGTGCGCGTGCCCCCCACTACCCCCTGCCCCACAATCCCCTGCCCCACAATCCCCTACCTCCTGCCCCACAATCCCCTACCTCCTGCCCCACAATCCCCTACCTCCTGCCCCACAATCCCCTACCTCCTGCCCCACAATCCCCTACCCTCTGCCCCATTACCCCCTGCCCCACAACCCCCTTGCTCCCAACCTCAAACCCTTCACGCCTTCTCACCTCGAGGTCCGAGAACTCGAACCAGGGGCAGCAGTCGAGGATATCGCACACGAAAACAACCGTGTCGCGCACGAGAAACCCGCCCTCCGGATCCAGCAGCTCCGCGACCTTCATGAGCTGCAGCACGCTGTTGTTCCACGTGCGCGTGCCCCCCACTACCCCCTGCCCCACAATCCCCTGCCCCACAATCCCCTACCTCCTGCCCCACAATCCCCTACCTCCTGCCCCACAATCCCCTACCTCCTGCCCCACAATCCCCTACCTCCTGCCCCACAATCCCCTACCCTCTGCCCCATTACCCCCTGCCCCACAACCCCCTTGCTCCCAACCTCAAACCCTTCACGCCTTCTCACCTCGAGGTCCGAGAACTCGAACCAGGGGCAGCAGTCGAGGATATCGCACACGAAAACAACCGTGTCGCGCACGAGAAACCCGCCCTCCGGATCCAGCAGCTCCGCGACCTTCATGAGCTGCAGCACGCTGTTGTTCCACGTGCGCGTGCCCCCCACTACCCCCTGCCCCACAATCCCCTGCCCCACAATCCCCTACCTCCTGCCCCACAATCCCCTACCTCCTGCCCCACAATCCCCTACCTCCTGCCCCACAATCCCCTACCTCCTGCCCCACAATCCCCTACCCTCTGCCCCATTACCCCCTGCCCCACAACCCCCTTGCTCCCAACCTCAAACCCTTCACGCCCTCTCACCTCGAGGTCCGAGAACTCGAACCAGGGGCAGCAGTCGAGGATATCGCACACGAAAACAACCGTGTCGCGCACGAGAAACCCGCCCTCCGGGTCCAGCAGCTCCGCGACCTTCATGAGCTGCAGCACGCTGTTGTTCCACGTGCGCGTGCACACACTCGCCTCCTTCCACACGCTCGCCTCCGCGGCCTTCTGGTTGACGATGCCGATCTTGTAGCGCACCCAGAAGTTCTTGTCCATGTCCGTCGCGGCCATGGTGGTGGCTGTGGACGGCCCTGCTCCCGCCATCGCCTGATCGCTCTCCAGGTAGATGCACAGCGTGTCAAACGACTCGTACACGCCTGAGCGGAAAGGGGGGGGGAGGGGAAAGGAAGGGGCGTGCCGGGAGAAGGGGGTTGGTGCGAGGGGAGGGGGAGGGGGGAAAGGGGGTTTGAGTTGTCGAAACAACGACATGTGCGAGAGGGCTTCAACGACTGGGATAGCCGCCCGCCATGGCCTGCTCGTTCTCCAGGCAGATGCAGAGCGTTTCGCACAACTATTACACGCCTGGAGAGGCATTGAGGAGCGTGTGGCGAATGGATGGTGGCGAATGGATGGTGGCGCATGGATGGTGGCGCATGGATGGTGGCGCATGGATGGTGGCGCATGGATGGTGGCGCATGGATGGTGGCGCATGGATGGTGGCGTATGGATGGTGGCGCATGGATGGTGGCGCATGGATGGTGGCGCATGGATGGTGGCGCATGGATGGTGGCGCATGGATGGTGGCGCATGGATGGTGGCGCATGGATGGTGGCGCATGGATGGTGGCGCATGGTGCACATGAAACCCTAATTGCCCGCTAAAACAGCAAAGCGCAACGAGCGAGAAATAGAGGGCGGGACGTGGGGAGGGGGGGGCTGGGGTAGGGGACAAGGGGCGGAAAAGCAGAGCCAGGGGGCGAACACAGCGTGCAGGGAGAGGGTGCAAAGAAAACGTTGAGTCGGGGAAAGCAAACGAGTTATGCCTTTCAAAACGCACCAATGCGGAGATCACAGCCGCCAGCGGAGAAGAACTTGCTGAAGATCTTGCGCGTCTCCATGATCTCCTTGAACGCCAGAAAATTCTCCACCTTCCACGTGAACACGCCGCGCTTGGCGATCTTATTCGCGCCTGTCACGTCCATGGCGCCCCCCGCAATCAGCTGCGCCGTCCCCGCGCCCCCTATCCCCACCAGCCCCGCGGGGGACGCCGCCCCCTCGTCTGTATACTCGAACAGAAACGACGACTCCTTCAGTATAAGCACCTCCGCGGAGAACACCACAGTATCCGATACAAGGAACCCCGAGTCTAGGTCGAAGAGCGAGGTGAGGGTAACGAACTCGCGCCAGCCCCAGTCTTTCGCGGCCTTGCTGTAGCGGTTCTGCGACTCCTTGGCGACGCACCGGTCCTCCTGCCGCTGGTTGACGACGGAGAGGCGATGGCTCACGAAGCAGCTCCAGTCGGCTGCTGGCACGCGCGAGTCCGTGACCTCGAGGAACATGGACAGGTGGCACGGCGGCTGCGACTGGCCTGCGCGGGTGTGGTCGGAGGGATATGGGGGAAACAGCGGGGAAGTAGGGGGAAATGGGGGGATAAGGAGGGATACGGGAGTAACTTCGGGTAGGGCAGAGGGCACGTGCAAATCCGTGACTTCAAGGAACATCGATAGGTGGCACGGCGGCTGCGTCTGGTCTGGGCGGGTGGAATTCGGTGCATGGCGGACGGGGAACAGGGGGAAGGGAACAGAAGCGGCGGGCAAGGCGAGAAAGGCGGCGACGGAAAGGGACGGGAGGGTCGTAGTGAGCTGGTGAAAAGCGATAAAAGTGCGAGAAAACGGCGGAAGAGACGGCGCGACGAACGCAGAATTGGGGAGGGGGGAAATGTACGTAAACGCGGAGAACAGCAAAGCGAAATTCGGCACAGGAAACTTCACCCGACAAGACCCTACCACGACTAGTGTATACCTCACAGCTAGTGCACTCCTCACAAGCAGTGCACACCGCACGCGCAGCGCAACCGTACCTCGCGGGTAAACAATGAGGCGGCAGTCGCGCCCGCCGACCTGGAACCGCTTGCTCTTAATGCACAGCCCCGTGATCTTGCGCTTCTTCAGCAGGTCCTTCAGCCGCGTGAAGTTATCGATCCGCCACACGAATTTCCCGAAGTACCCGTCGCCCTTCTTCACGTTGCTGCCGCGCCCGCCCGGCAGCGACGGGTTCTTGGAGAACGTGCTCGACTCCTTGATGACGTGGAACGACGCGCTGAACACCGCCGTATCGTCCACCAAATACCCCGCGGTAGCGGAGACGAAATCCGCCATGCGCATGTAATCGTTCCACCCCAGGCTCGTGTTGTCTCCGCTCTTGTTGTCCGCTGCGAATCGGCCGTACGAGTCCCTGTGCACGTGGTTCGATCCCGGCCGTTGGTTCAGCACCGACATGCGGAACAGGCACCAGCAGCTGCGCTCCGGGCCGGACGATTTATCGACGTCTTTACTCTCGAGGCACATGGAGAGGTAATCGACGTTGTTGACGGACGACTGGTAGACGCTCAGACGGAGGTTGCAATCCCCAGCAGGAAACACGGGACTCATGATCTTCTGCGTCTTAATCATTTCCTTAAACAGCGAGAAGTTGTGAACTTTCCACGAGAATTTCCCGCTAACAACCTCCCCGGTAGCGGGAGTAATCGACGACGCGAGCACCTCGTTGTCGCGCGAGAACGACACGGACTCGTTAAGAATGAGAATCTCCGCCGTTATAAGCACCGCGTCAGTCATCAGAAACCCCGCGCGGGAATCCAGCACGACCGACGACGGCGTGAAGTCGCACCACCCGTGCGACTTCTTCTTCCCTGAAAACCGGTGCCACGAATCCCGCTGCACCGTCTTGCTGTCATCTTTCACGTTCACCACGCAAAGCCGGTAGCTCGCGAAGCAATCCCACTTGCTACTAGCTGTCCCGCGCGGGTCCGTCAGCTGCAAATAAATCGATATGTACCCCGGCAAAGCCTGCGAATCGCCTTTCGGGTATACGAGCAGCCGGCAGTCGAACCCCCCTACTTCGAAATACTTGCTCCAAAGCGCGCGCGCCTTGACTTTCCCGAACTGCGCGATGGTCCATTTGCAGATGGCGGCGTGGTCGCCCTTGCGCTCTACCACCACCGACTCCTGACCGGCCTCCTTCGGATCATCAATGCTTTCGTTGCCTCGCAGCTGGATCTTGTCGCTGCGAGATCCGGGCAATGTGCCTTCTGAGTTGATCTGACACGCCGTCGCTCCTGATTCTTCCGCCTTCCTCATGATTCCTCCCTATGAAAATCCGGATGACTAGATTTACGAGAATCTAATAAAAGAAACCTAAAAAGAAGGAAGCATTACGGATGGCTTAATTGAATGGTGAGCCTACCACTGTCAGACCCTGCTACGCGGAAACCTAATTTTGAGCACGATAGAACAAAAACGGCTATCAGGAAGGTCAAACACGATTTACGGCAACAAAGCTGAAGCCTCTTCAAAATCGAAAAAGCTCGAAGCTAAGAAACCATATAAAATCACTGTCCCGCAACTAAAGACACGGCGCAAGACCCGCCGCGACAACTAATCTACACCCTGAAAGCGTAAAAACTCTCCTCTTATTCCATTCCAGATCTGCTAATGAGATAAGGAGCGGGAGGAGGAACGACAAGTACCAAGTAAACCAGAAACCCTAACTTGGCTCCCTCAGATGGCGTTCTGGGGAACGACTCAACCCACGGGCTGATGAGTGCCTGCCGTGCCACGTATTCCTCTCCCTCGGGATTCCCTGCAAACGGATCACCCCCTCATCCGTCTGTCCACCTCTGCCCGCCAGATCCCTCTGGGGCAGGCGGGAGGGAACGGAACAGAACGGAACAGAGTCTCTGTGGGAAAGCAACCACGCGGGCGGAACGGGTCTCGCTCGGTCATTCGGCCGTCAGTGGTCGCCGGTTCGTAAACGGAAAACCTTCGCGAAGAACTTGAAAGTCAGAACGAGCCTTCGCGGTAGCCGTCATCTTCGCCATGGAATGTTCCGCTGGGACATAGGCTCTCCAAAGCATATAGGGTAAATCGACCGATATTTCCTAATATAATCTCTTTTACAGTAAAATCATAAACTACAGTAAACATCACCCGTGACAAACTAGCAAAAACGAAGGAGCGCAAAATGCAGTGCGCGTTGGTACTGTACAGCACTACCTGAAACCCAGAAAACATTTTTTTGGGATGGTGGGTGAGATCTGGCCTGCAGTCACATGAGCACAAATCAGTCACACCATAGAAGCCTGTCTCACAAAATACCTGTCCCCTCCCTCGCAACACGGAGCGCGCTACACGTCATTTGCACGACCTGGCTCCTTATTATCTCACGCCATGGCAATTTCATAGCCTGATCCAGTGCGTGCTCATTCAAACCCGGTTCCAGCGTTATATTTGCGGTACAAAAACGTCCCAATCGTTACTGTCACATCGTATCACGTCGTATCACATCGTATCGCATCGGTCTACGACATCTCCACGATGTGGTCAACGAGACACCCTCACGCGCCGTGGCCGCGGCCGAGCGTCGGCCGTTTCTGCTACGTCATGGTGGCGATCGCAGCAGCCATTGTGATGGTGCACCATCACAACCAGATGCAGCAAGAGATCGACGTCAATCGACGGTCCAGGTTCGCCGATCACATCGTCCCCCACGCTTCCTGCTCCCCTGCTCGCCTCTTCAGAAACAGGCTGACTCTGTTAGCAAGCCTTTGTCTTTCCGTCCCCGTTCGAGTCTTCATTCTATACCGCGTCCCGATCGATGTGTCATGCGTGTGTGGATCGTGCGTGTGCGCCACGTGGCAGGAATCAGATGGAGCGGCTGTACGATGCGATGCGGCGGCAGGAGGGCGAGTGGAAGGCGAAGGCGGAGGACGAGCGACAGCGACTCGCGGAGGTCATGGACGCGTGCTCAAAGGTCGGATATTATTCAGTAATCTAATCGAACAAACAATGTGTTCCAAGGTCGGACGTACGTGTTACTGAGATAAATCGAAAGAACTACCGCCTGTGTTCTCAGTCAGACAGCCAGAGTCCCAAAACCTCCTCCCCTGCTATCTCTCCTGTTCCACAGGTGCGGCAGCAGCTGGCAGCGGAGCAGCAGGTCAGCCAGCAGCAGGAGCAGCAGATACGCTCCCTGCAAGAGGTGCGTGAGTGAGGGGAGGAGCACTTGAGAGGGATGGAGGTGGTGAGGGAGGGAGACAATGGGTCCGAGTCTGACTTTTGAGTCGACTCAAAAGTCGGTGGTGAGGGAGGGAGACAATGGGTCCGAGTCTGTATGTGTACGTGTTGGCGTCAGCATGTGTGCATGTCCACATCAGCATGCGTGTACGTCCACTGTGTTGTACCTTCCTTGGCTGCCTCCAGCTATACGTTTCTGAATCCTGCGTTTGTGCATCCGTGTTTGTGCATGTCCCGGGTGTGACTGTAACAGGAGCTGCGAGCAGCAAGAGGCGTGCCGCATGACAACACGTCTAAGAAACCTCCGGAGGGGGGCAACCCTTGACTTGACTCTTGCCCAGCCGGCACACACTGGCAGGCAGGCGCTGTCACCTGGCCACCTTGCCCTGCATGCATGCATGCGTTTCCCACATGGTTTCAGTACCTGGAACGGGCGGTACTCACAGGCAGCAGCTCTGGATACTGAGTGTGGGATGGGAGCGGCAAGCTGCACGCGCGGACAGAGACTTGCACGCACCCACCTCAAGTGTTTCCAGGATTGCACTGGCCGAGGGTGAGATGCAGGTGTGCTGCCGCTGCCACTGGGTAGCTCCACCCCGCTCTCATGTTCCCAGTGACAACATGAGCCTGCATCTCAGTGTGCGAGGGCGTCAGCTGAGATCTCTCCCCTGTTGCAGACGCTGTCAAGCGGGCACAGGCCAGCAGGGGCAAGGGGGAGCGTGCGGCAGGTGCGAGCGTGTCAGTCGGGGCTTTTCTGAAGGCCTCTCAACACCTCACCTCACAACGTTATCCGTTATGCAAGGGGCTGTCAATGTCTGTCAGAATCCATCACCTGCTGCCGTTGCAGACCAGAGGTGTGGCTGCTCCATCTCTTCCGGTTTCCGGGCATTCCTTTTCTCTGGCAGACATTTCAGCACGGCCAACAGCCTTCGCAGCTTCAGCAGCAGCCGCAGCAGCAGCCGCAGCAGCTGTGTCACCACTTCACCTCCTTGATGCTGTGAGCTGCAGCGAATTGATGTTCTTTCAGCAATGAGGGGAGACCACCCGGCCAGGCTGCCGCTGTGACCTCTGTCATCTATGGTCCTGCTATGAAGAGTGCTGGCTGACTGCGGCAGAATCTGCCTGTCAAAGCCAACTCCTTCCAGTGCTTCACCTCTGCCCTGATGAGGCTGGGGGAGTTGAGATGCACTCGGGCCTGTGCATCAAGCTGTATCTCGAGTTGAGCTTCATGCATGTTGGTGTTTCTTCATGCCGATTTTGTACCGCTTGCAGTTGCTGGAATGTCACGGTGAACGTATACGGTTATAGCGAATTGTTGTTGAGAGCCAATCAGGCACTTTCTGCCTGCAAAAATATTAACGAATTAGCTTAGCTCTCTTCACAGGTGGTGCTGTTATGGCAAGTATACCAATAAAAGTAGGGACTCGTCTTTGTAAAGAGCCCAGAGTGGGCGGCAAGCCAGCAGACACTCACACCATGGCCACACTTGAGTCAAGGCAGCAGGGCACGGTGCATGGAGCGAGTGCGGCGGCGGGAGGAGGGGTGCAGCACTCCCAGCACCTGCAGCTCCGACGCTGCTGCCAAGAACCGAGCCCTGTGGGGGGTGGGAGGGCAGGGAGGGCACATGGCATACGGAGGTGCATGGATGGAAATGTACGAAGACCAAGAGCAGGGTAGGGAGACACGTTTATCGGGTGAAGCATTACCAGCACCTGCAGCTCCGATGCTGCTGCCAGGAACTGAGTCCTGTCAGGTATGGGAGGGCAGAGAGGGCACACGGCATACGGAGGTGCACAGGCAATGTGCGGAAACTGAGCACCGGGCAGGGGGCCACATGTATACGAGCAGCACTCCCAGCACCTGCAGCTCTGATGCTGCTGCCAGGAAGCGAGCCCTGCGGGGTGAGGGGGGGTGCGAGGGGAGGTGCATGGGCAACGTATGGCAAGGGGGTGCAACGCTGAAGCCGCACTCAAGATGCCACAAGGATGGTGCAAGAATGACCGCCAGCGGATGGGATTTCTGAGCCACCTCAGATGAGACCTTTTGTGGGGCGTCTTAAAACAAAATGAGGGAGTGAGTGGCATTCATGATCGCATGGGCACAGGCAAGCATGGACGCAACTGGATATGCTCATCCGAGAGAGTGGCTGTCGTGGTGCTGCAATCCTGCCCCACCTCCTGCTGCTCACCCCCATCACCACCCTTCCTCTTCCTCCCCCTCCTCCCTCCCATCTTTTCACCATCCTTCACCGCCTCTCTCCCATCTGCCGTCCTCCCCTTCCTCCCACGACCCCTGCCCCTCTTTCCACCAGCGACACCAGCTTCAGCAACCCCAGTAGCAGCAGCACCAGCAGCCTCATCTGCAGCACCACATTCAGCCGCACTAGGTGCAGCCACTGAAGCAGCAGCGGGGGCGCAGGCAGCACGAGTGGAAGCAGCGAAGGCAGAGAGGAGGTCGCGGGAGTCAGCAGAAGCACCGGGCATGGCGCACACCAGGGAGTACAGGCGACCCGTGTCATGCGCTGTCGACGCTGCGGGTATCACACCTCCTTGAGACGACTTTTCAGTCACCCCCAAAGTGTGATCTTTGTGTGAGGGCGCTGGCACGATATGCTTTTGAGGGGCCTTGTGAGGGGCCTTGAGAGGCGGCCTCTGAGATGACTCAAGGGGCGGCGGCATAAGATCCTTCTGAGATGGCCGTTTAGTGAAGCTGATGATATCCAGAGCTGTTCGCGCTTCCATCAATTGCATTTGAACTCCGCGCTGCTGCTGTTGCTGTTGCTGTTGCTGTTGCTGTTCCTCCTCCTCCTCCTCGTGCTGCTGCTGCTGTTGCAAGGAGAGGTCAGAGCGGAGGGAGGAGAGCACAGCGGCCCCAGCAGGGTAGGCTGCGAGGGATGCAGGGGCTTTGACTATGAACGGCTGTAGGTGCGGGTGGGAGGACCAGTCTGCTGCACAGAGGCTGGCGGGGGAGGGGTCAGCAAGAGCGGGGGAAAGATAGGGGAGTGAGGAGGGGAGAGGGAGGGAAAGAAAGAATACGGCAGGGGCTTCAGCGATGAACGGCTGCAGGTGTGGGTGGGAGGACCAGTCTGCTGCACAGAGGCTGGCGGGGGAGGGGTCCGTGAGAGGGATAGGAAAGAGGACCAGATTTACGCACTTAGCGCAAATGGCACCTAGCTTTTCGGATGGGTAAAAAAAAAAAAATTACCGTGTATGGATTCTCATTGTGGTTTTTTCGTACAACGTAAACGTCAACTCTTACCGCACGAGACACGCCAGCAGGGCTTGCAGCTTCCCTGCCACGTGTGGCAGCAGCTGGTCACACAGCGACCTTGGGGGGGCAGCAGCACGGGCTGCTGCATGCTGCAGAGAAGGACGGGGTGCAGCGGGACGGTTTGACGCTACTGATGCCGGTGGTGCCGCCGCTGATTGGAGCAGCATGGCCCTGCGACGGAGTGGGTGGTGTTGGGTTGGAATAGGTTTGGTTGGGTTGGAGTGGGTTGGGTTAAGTTGTGGGGGGGTTGAAGTGGGTCAAGAAGCACAGAGGAGGGCCATGCAAGCTGCAAAGGCGTGGCTTCTGTGCAGTCACTGCCTTACACCCTAGCCACGCCACACTGTCACACCTGCCTTGCACACTCGCAACACCTACCATACCGCACTTCATCCCTCTCCACCCACCTTCTCCTCATCGCAGCACTCGAACCCCTCTGTGCCATACTCGCAGCATCCGCACCTGCCACCCCTCCTTTCATGCCTTTCCCACCCAAACCATCTGCTCCTTTCACCGCAGCTCCTCCTGTTGACCCTCCCCCAGCTAACCCTCCCTTAGCCGAATTGCCGGATCTGAGCTTGGTACCGTCCACGCCATTCCGACTCTCCGTCTCATTCTCAACCCTCAAATCTCCTCCTTTCCGCTTTCCTGCTGCTGCTGCTGCTGCCGCTGCTGCTGCTCTTTCTGCTTTGGTTCGGCGTACGGCTGCTTCCACAGAGGCTTGAATCTGCTGAACCAGGCGGAGGGGCTGTGCAGGACCAAAAGAGGGACATGAACAAGAATTGGCATAGAGGACGGATGGGTGGACAGATGGACGGATGGATGCATGGTTGAGGCAATAATGGTTACAACAGCTGCCCTGATACACAGAAACCACAACACCAAAGTTAGAAGAAAAACATCGACAAAAAGGGCAAGGTCTACCTCAGGCAGTTTGGCACAGGCAAGCTCCAGCCAGCCCAGCACACTCACTGCTCGTGCCACATGAACCCAACTCACTAAACTCATTCCTGAGAAACTCCCCCCATGGACGGACTCACCTCAGGCAGTTTGGCACACGCAAGCTCCAGCCAGCCCAGCACACTCACTGCTCGTGCCACATGAACCCAACTCACTAAACTCATTCCTGAGAAACTCCCCCCATGGACGGACTCACCTCAGGCAGTTTGGCACACGCAAGCTCCAGCCAGCCCAGCACACTCTCTGCTCTGGCCTCGCCTCCCGCCTCCCACGCCCACTCTCCACCCCCTCCCCTCGCCTCGCCCTGCTCTCCCTCCCCCTCCACTCCTTCCTTTCCTTCTCCCCTCCCTGCGGTCTCTCGCCCACTTGCCACCTCCTCCACATCACCATCCCCTCCTTCCTCTCTTGCCTTAGATATCTCTTCTGTCCTGCCTGCCTCAGCTACCTCCCCTTCCTCCCCTGCATTCCCTGCCTCTCCTGTCATTTTGCGCAGCTTTTCTGGATGCCCGTTGCTTCTCTCCTTCCCCGTGTGCCTCCTCTCCACCTCTTCCAACTCTTGCCTGGCAGGCGCAGGGAGGAGAGGAAAGTGTGTGAGACAGGGAGGAAGGCAGGTCGTTTGAGGCATGAAGGAAGGGAGGGTGCACGAGTAGAAAGAGTGCAGAACGAGCAGCTGTAGGCAGTTTGTGGTCTGCCCACAAACTGTCTCTAGCTGCGAGTCGATTTCCTCCCAGCAATGAAGCACCTTCCGTTGCATCAATGTAGAGGGCTGTCAAGTGGCACCATCCATTACGTCATGCTCTCCTTATCGCAACGGTTCGTCCACCTCCACACCCCCCTCACCTGTGCGCTGACCTCGCCAGCGCATTTGTCGCCTGCACCACTCACTGCAAGCAATCCGTGTGACTCAGCACTTGAGCAACAGCAGCAAGTCTTTGGGTTCCAAAGGCTGTGAGGGCCCAGCACGCACACACCCCGCACTTACCTCGCCAGTGCATTTGTTGCCTGCACCACGCGCTGCAAGCACTCCGTGTGACTCAGCACCTGGCCCACAGTTGGCACAGCAGCACCAGCAGCCGCAGCGGCCGCAGCAACAGCAGCAGCAGGAGGCGCATGGCTCCCATACGACCCTGATCTGAGGGCAATCTGAATTGCTGTAGGCGCTGGGGAGATGGGAGAACTCCAGCTCCCTTGTTCTGCTCCTGGTGCAGGGCTGATGGGTGAACCCGCATTTGTTGCGGGGTTGTATCGTTTCGGAGGAATGGGCGAGGAGATTGATGGTGTGAGGGAGATGGGAGGGAGAGGGGTGAGGGAGGAGAGGAGGCGGAGGAGGGATTCTGGTGAGGGAGTGTGTGGGGGAGTGAGAGAGGGGTGGGAGGAGGCGAGGAGGAAGGCGAGGAGGTGTGCGGAGTGGGGAAGAAGGAGGTGCAGGCGGAGGAGGAGCAGGTAGAGCGCCTGAGAAGGGGTTTGAATTGAAGGAGGAAAACCAAACAATGGAGGGAGGAGAGACGAGAGACAGTGGTGGGAAGACACAAACAAAGGAACACAGGGAGCAGTATGACTCAGGCAGGTCACATGCACGGGGTTAGGCCAGCGGTGTGAGACAGTTACCTCAACAGCGGACGCCCATTGGCTCAGCAGGGGAGGCGCGACTGGGGGAGGTGCAGCAGCGGCAGGTTCAGCTGATGCAGGTGGCACTGCAGCGGTGCTATGGAGGGCAGACCCGGGAGGAGGGTCGGATGCACCCCCTGTGGTGAGCGAGGGTGCGCTGAAGAAGTGGTTGTGAAGGAGGGTCTGCAGGGAGACGAGAGGCACAGAGAGGGAGAGAGGGGGAGGGAGGCGGGAGGACAAGGCGAGACAGGAGGTTCAGACGCACCCTCTGTGGCGAGAGACGGCGTGCCGAAGAAATAGCGGGGGAGGAGGGTCTGGAGGGAGGAGAGAGGATTTTACTTTTGAGCATTCTCAAGAGAAAAATCCACATTGGAGGAGGGTCTGGAGGGAAAAGAGAGGGAAAGAGGGGAGGAGAGGGAGAGGATGAGCGGGCGGGAAGGGGAGAGGGAGGGGGGATGAGAGGGTGAGACATGAAGAGGGTCAGACGAACCCACTGTGGTGAGCAAGGGTGTGCAGACGAAGTGGTGGTGAGCAAGGACCTGGAGGAGCGCACCCCCATCCCCCTCCCTCTCTCAGCCTTCAGCTCACCTTGAGGCAGCGCGTGAGCCCCTGCATGGACCCATCGTGCACCTCAGATAGATCCTATTGGATTCACCTCCTCCTCTTCCCCCCATCCCCCCACGCTCACCTTGAGGCAGCGCGTGAGCCCCTGCATGGACCCATCGTGCAGCTCAAACGACTCCCACAGTGCTGCCCAGGCTGAGTGCGAGAGAACTACTGGCACCGTCACCGCTGCTGCTGCTCCTGTCCCTGCTCCTCTTCCTGCTCCTGCTCCTACTCCTGCTCCTGCTCCTGCTCCTCCTCCTGCTCCTCCTCCTGCTCCTCCTATTCCCACTCCTGCTGCTGCTGCTGCTGCTGCTGCTGCAGGGATCGGTGGTGATGGCGAGGGAGGGGAGGACAAGGGCTGTAGAAGGGCGGAGAGGAGGAGGGGGTCGAGGAGGAGGCGCGGAGAGGGCAGGCGGAAGGTGGAGAGGTGGAGGTGGGGGAGGGTGCTGGGCGGCAGGAGGCGGGGGATGGACGGCAAGGAGTGGACGCCAGTGAGGATGAGGACAAAAGGGAGGGTGCTGCGCCACTCGCTGAGGGTGGGGGAAGGTTAAGGGGGGGCAGTGGGAGGGGTGTTTCTGAGGGGAGGTGTATGTGGGGGAAGGTGTGTTTGGGGAAGGGTGTTTCTGGTAAAAGATGTTGGAAAGTCTTTGGAGAAGTAAGAAAAGTGCGTCTGAGGACAGGTGGAGGGGGAAGGATGGGGGAAGGGGGAGAGAGGGAGGACGGCTGAAGGAAGAGAAAAGGAAGCAGAGTGGGATGAGGACAGTGATGAGGACAGTGATGAAGGCATGCAGCGCCTTTGAGTCGACTCGAGCTGAGGACAGTGATGAGGGCATGCAGCGCCTTTGAGTCGACTCAAGAGCTGAGGACAGTGATGAGGGCATGCAGCGCCTTTGAGTCGACTCAAGAGCTGAGGACAGTGATGAGGGCATGCAGCGCCTTTGAGTCGACTCAAGAGCTGAGGACAGTGATGAGGGCATGCAGCGCCTTTGAGTCGACTCAAGAGCTGAGGACAGTGATGAGGGCATGCAGCGCCTTTGAGTCGACTCAAGAGCTGAGGACAGTGATGAGGGCATGCAGCGCCTTTGAGTCGACTCAAGAGCTGAGGACAGTGATGAGGGCATGCAGCGCCTTTGAGTCGACTCAAGAGCTGAGGGCATGCAGCGCCTTTGAGTCGACTCAAGAGCTGAGGACAGTGATGAGGGCATGCAGCGCCTTTGAGTCGACTCAAGAGCTGAGGACAGTGATGAGGGCATGCAGCGCCTTTGAGTCGACTCAAGAGCTGAGGACAGTGATGAGGGCATGCAGCGCCTTTGAGTCGACTCAAGAGCTGAGGACAGTGATGAGGGCATGCAGCGCCTTTGAGTCGACTCAAGAGCTGAGGACAGTGATGAGGGCATGCAGCGCCTTTGAGTCGACTCAAGAGCTGAGGACAGTGATGAGGGCATGCAGCGCCTTTGAGTCGACTCAAGAGCTGAGGACAGTGATGAGGGCATGCAGCGCCTTTGAGTCGACTCAAGAGCTGAGGACAGTGATGAGGGCATGCAGCGCCTTTGAGTCGACTCAAGAGCTGAGGACAGTGATGAGGGCATGCAGCGCCTTTGAGTCGACTCAAGAGCTGAGGACAGTGATGAGGGCATGCAGCGCCTTTGAGTCGACTCAAGAGCTGAGGACAGTGATGAGGGCATGCAGCGCCTTTGAGTCGACTCAAGAGCTGAGGACAGTGATGAGGGCATGCAGCGCCTTTGAGTCGACTCAAGAGCTGAGGACAGTGATGAGGGCATGCAGCGCCTTTGAGTCGACTCAAGAGCTGAGGACAGTGATGAGGGCATGCAGCGCCTTTGAGTCGACTCAAGAGCTGAGGACAGTGATGAGGGCATGCAGCGCCTTTGAGTCGACTCAAGAGCTGAGGACAGTGATGAGGGCATGCAGCGCCTTTGAGTCGACTCAAGAGCTGAGGACAGTGATGAGGGCATGCAGCGCCTTTGAGTCGACTCAAGAGCTGAGGACAGTGATGAGGGCATGCAGCGCCTTTGAGTCGACTCAAGAGCTGAGGACAGTGATGAGGGCATGCAGCGCCTTTGAGTCGACTCAAGAGCTGAGGACAGTGATGAGGGCATGCAGCGCCTTTGAGTCGACTCAAGAGCTGAGGACAGTGATGAGGGCATGCAGCGCCTTTGAGTCGACTCAAGAGCTGAGGACAGTGATGAGGGCATGCAGCGCCTTTGAGTCGACTCAAGAGCTGAGGACAGTGATGAGGGCATGCAGCGCCTTTGAGTCGGCTCAAGAGCTGAGGACAGTGATGAGGGCATGCAGCGCCTTTGAGTCGACTCAAGAGCTGAGGACAGTGATGAGGGCATGCAGCGCCTTTGAGTCGACTCAAGAGCTGAGGACAGTGATGAGGGCATGCAGCGCCTTTGAGTCGACTCAAGAGCTGAGGACAGTGATGAGGGCATGCAGCGCCTTTGAGTCGACTCAAGAGCTGAGGACAGTGATGAGGGCATGCAGCGCCTTTGAGTCGACTCAAGAGCTGAGGACAGTGATGAGGGCATGCAGCGCCTTTGAGTCGACTCAAGAGCTGAGGACAGTGATGAGGGCATGCAGCGCCTTTGAGTCGGCTCAAGAGCTGAGGACAGTGATGAGGGCATGCAGCGCCTTTGAGTCGACTCAAGAGCTGAGGACAGTGATGAGGGCATGCAGCGCCTTTGAGTCGACTCAAGAGCTGAGGACAGTGATGAGGGCATGCAGCGCCTTTGAGTCGACTCAAGAGCTGAGGACAGTGATGAGGGCATGCAGCGCCTTTGAGTCGACTCAAGAGCTGAGGACAGTGATGAGGGCATGCAGCGCCTTTGAGTCGACTCAAGAGCTGAGGGCATGCAGCGCCTTTGAGTCGACTCAAGAGCTGAGGACAGTGATGAGGGCATGCAGCGCCTTTGAGTCGACTCAAGAGCTGAGGACAGTGATGAGGGCATGCAGCGCCTTTGAGTCGACTCAAGAGCTGAGGACAGTGATGAGGGCATGCAGCGTACTGCTGCTGCACGCAGGTGAGTCCGCCACCACAACAGCGATTGAGCCCACACCATCACCACCGTCCCTCCCATTTGAGTCTACTTTAACAAAGGAGGAGCAGCCCTGACCTGAGGACACCGATCAAGGCATGCAGGGCACTGCTGCTGCATGCAGGCGCGTCCGCCACCACCACCGCTATGGCGCACACACCACCACTGCAGCCAGCTACGCTACCCCCGCTGCCAGCACTGGTGTGAGCCTGGTGCCATGCGGAGAGGGCCGCCATGTCAGGGACCTGGGGCACACGGGCAGCATGGGGAAGGAGTCGCTCAAGATGTGCACAGGAAGGCAGGCTTTAAGATGACAGGCTGGTTGGGCAGGTTTCCTGTTGTGGGGCATTAAGATCACAAGCCTGTCCCACGCCTACTCCCCACTTTCCACTCTTCCCACCCCTGCCCTCAACTTCCGCTCTTTCTCCCTCTCCTCCTCCCCAGCCTTTTCCAGCATCCACCCATTCACCCTCTCACCCCCCTATCCGTCTCCGTCTCACCTTCCCAACCTTCCCTGTCAGCTGCTGCAGCACGCTCAACACAGCCTGGCTGCCAGCCTGCTTTTTGTATTCAACTCAAAAAACTCTTCCGCCCTCTTCCCCTCCTTCCACCCCCCACCATCCGTCTCGGCCTCACCTTCCCAGCCTTCCCAGTCAGCTGCCGCTGCACGCTCAACACAGCTTGACTCCCTGCCTGCCCTCCCCCGCCAAAGCTATGTGGCTCCAGAAGCGCCACGTGGCAGCAGCCCATTTGCTGCAGGGAGGCCTGAAGTGCAGAGCAGAAGGAGGCGCTGTCGGTGCAGTCAAGCGAGCCGGTTACCACAACGCTGGTCGGCAGCTTGCAGGCCATACCCGCCCCAGCAGGCGTTATCTGGACAGGGCTTATCTGGACTGATGTTGAGTCGTCCTCTTGCCCTGCGTTGTCTGGAGCAAGGTGTTGGGGAGCAGGCAAGGTGGTTGCTTCATGCATTACTTAATCATGACTTGATGCAAACATACACTGATCCGAAGGAATTAAGAGTTATGTGAGCTCATCGTGGGCTGCTGTATGAGGAGTCCCACGCTAGGCTGTCAAACATCCGAATGTGCATATAGCGAAGATGTTTATAGCAAGGTGATTATAGGAAAGTGCTTACAATAGAGGTGCTTACAGCGGTGCAGAGCGGTGGATGTCTTGACCCACTGCTGAAGCTGAGCAATTGCCCGGCTCTCGTGCTCCCGTAGCAATGCCTGCATGGGGTGTCGTGGGGTTCCATGGGGTTGCATGCGGTTCTTATGTTCTTATACATAACATAGTAGCGTCCCATGCACTTCTTACATTTATGCCCCATGCTTACATCCATGCGTTGCTGCATGCTCCCCCACGTAGCTTCAAACGCGCCTCTCCCAAACACTGCTCCTGTCACCCTCGTCCTACTTCCAGCTGCTGCATTCCCAACCCCTGCTGCCGCAACCCCTGCTGCCACACCCCCTGCTGCCACATTTCTACCCCCTGTGGTAGCATTCTTCCCTACAAGCACATCCTTTACTTGCACAAGGCCATCCCGCGTAAGCCCAGCAGCATCCCTCTGTCCCGCCTTATCTCCCTGCCTCGCATTCCCTCTCTCCGACACACACTCCCCCAACAGCATGTTCTGTCCGTTCGCACCATGGCCCTCCCTCCGCCTTGGTGCAAAACGCCCGTCTGATTTCCTGTAGGGTGCATCTCCTTCCTTATACGCTGTATCTGTCTCTTTTCTCGTAGATGTTCCTTCGCTATCTCCCCCCACTTCCTCGACCTCCTCTCCCTCCTTCCCCCCCAACTCCTTTCCCTCCTCACCACTCTTCGCCTCCCCTTCCTCTTCCTCTTCATCTTCCTCTCCCTCCTCCCCTCTCTCCTCCCCTTCTTCCGCCTCTCCCTCTTCCTCTTCCACCCCTTTCCTTGGCACCTCCCCCTCTTGGGCACACGTGTTCTCCTCCTCGCACGTAGTCCCTCCCCCTGACACCACCTCCTGAACATCATCGTCAGCTTCATCACCATCACCATCACCATCACCATCACCATCACCATCACCATCACCAGCATCATCCTTTCTACCCTCGAATTCCTCCTCCTCCGTCTCTTCCCCATCCTCCTCCTCATTTATCTTTTCACCCCTTTTACTGACCCGATACTTCCTGCTCTGCTCCTTCTTATCCTCCTTCGCGTTCCGCTGCTTCGATCTCGGTGAAGCCTTTCCCTCCTTCACTCTCCTTGTTCCTGGTTTCTCACTTCCTCCCGCTGTTCCCTCTCTCTCACTCACTCCCGCTGTCCCCCCTCTATCACTCACTCCACCTGTCTTCCCAGACAATCTCAGAGACCTCCTAGGAGTAACATGATTGGTGACATCCGACGGCTCAGATTGTTTCCAGGACGGCTCAGGTTCAATCGACTCTCCTACCGTCACCGTGCATTGAACCTGATCCCCATCGGACGGCGCATACTCGTTCGAAGCTCCGTTCACACGAAATTCCGCAGATTCTGCACCGTCAGATCCCCGCTCCTGCTTTTGTTTCCTCGCCGACTTGCTAAGAGCGGCTTTGCCACGCGCCAAGTGTTTCTTTGACCTCATCAGGATTCACAAGGAAAATATCGCTTAGCCAATCCACAGATTCTTCGAAAAGATATGTTCTGATCCTACATAGCGCTTAAGATCCTACGGCTGATCCTCGGGACTTGTAGGTCCTCTATCTTCACTTAGCCTACTGCGTAGCGGATAACTAGACCCACTGATCGTCCATAGCTGAAGGGATGTAAGAAGCAGTATCTTTATATCGAAGCCGTTAGTGGTGACATGATCGTGCTTCGTAGAAAGCTGTCACTTTTGATGAAGGCAGGAATTATTGCTGTACCGCTGATGTGAAGTCATTTACGCGCAGACCTAAGAAAAAAACGCGACGAGCTGCGCCAACTCCCATTCACTGCGGCGAACATGCAATTTACCAGCTAACACCTATAGATGTGTTCTGCTGGCTAGTGCTTTCACAAGGTCGGGTACAGAGGAGATCAAGCAAGAAACTAGGTTGTCTTGAAACTCGCCCACCCATCAAACCGTTCCTGTGCTGGAAATTCCACCTCGGGAATCGGGATGACAGGCTACTGTTATTTCGTGTCAGTGCTGTGTCAGGAGGAGGAAGAACGCCATTCCTCTTGATATTGGCCCGCCATTTCTCTGGCGCTGCGGGATGCAAAGATGGAGGCTAAATTTCAAATGCACCAAGAGTACACTAGATCTGAAGGTGTTACGGGTGCAATGGATCGAAGTAGCTAGAATTGCACTAAGGTGTCAAACGAGTACAAAATGTGAGCGAAGGCATGAGCGAACATTTATACGCGAAACATGCAAACGGTAACGCAGTGCGTGCGAGCTAGCTAGTGCTACGCTGGAGCGAGGCTCGGGCTAGTTCCGAAGCGTAGGCCGACATGGCCAGGCCAGCAGTGCGAGGTTTGGTGAAACAGTGCGCGCGAAGTCGGCGAAGCCCCGTTAGCAGTAACAGGCGAACAACGGCTGCTGCTGTACGCGATGTTGCAGGGTGCTCTAAGGAATATCGATAAAATTCCTTACAGAAGGCCATTCTATTAAATTCAGCAACAACAGATTCTAATATGTGCAAGCCCAAAACAAATTTACACCTTATACCGCCTTCCCATTATCTGCTCTCCACCCCATGCCCCCTCACATCCTTAGAACCTTATTTATACATACAAACATTATGGTATCCTCTTACCCTCATGCCACTATTTTTTTAAAAACGTGTCAAATTCTTCAGTCTTCTTGTTTTTACATGGTGTGTCTTGTATCGTTCTCTTTTTTTATGAGAGCGCGCTGACCCCTCTGAGTTATGGTGAATGGGACGGTAGAAGGCAAACGCATGGCTAATATGATCTAATACCGTAGCTGGAATCACCCATACAGTGGTGTAGTTGGAGAATATATACCCGTTCAGGGGAAATATGCAAATGGTAACATGAATGGGTCTCAATAAGGCATATGGTAAGAATACACTGAATTTTGAAAGCATCAACCCAAGAATCACCATGATTTAGAGCGGTTATTTCCTGAGGACCGATTTTTATGGGCCCACCGCTAGCCTCTCGTGATGGCACACACCGTTGCGCAGCCCGCAGTGCGCCTCGTGAGTGCTTCCCTGCCTTCAGCCCGTCGCCCGCGTGCCATCTGCTGTGGCAACCCATCGTCTGGGCGCTACCCGCTACAGCAGCCAGCCGCCCACACGATATCTGCTGCTGTAGCCCGTCGCCCGTCCTGTCGCACTGCCGCCCGTCACCTGCCTCGTCGACCGTTGCCCGTCCCGTCGTGTTGCCGCCCGTCACGTCACGCCCGTCACCTGCCCCGGCGAACGTCCCGCCAGCGAGCTCGCCAACGGACCCGCGAGCCCGCCAGCAAGCGATCTAGCAAACTCGCCGTCGGACCCGCCAGCAACATCTGCCAGCGCCTCCGCCAGCTCCATGACCTGCACTACGCCCCATGTCCACATCTCGTACGCGCCCGACCGCACCCCGTACGTCGTCCCATTTTCCCATCCACAACACACCACCCATCTACAACACACCCCCCATCCACAACACACCACCCAAACACATGAAGTAATTCAGCCACGAAACCACCCACATGCACTAACCAGCAACCACCCACCCACCTACCTAACTACCCACTCACCACCCCTCTCCACACCGCCCAAACAAACCCACCCCACACACCCAGCACAGCACCACCCAGCCAGCATCCAGCCTCGAGCCACCACCCGCCTACCCGTTTACCCAGCCACAGCCCGCCGACCCTTCATTCAGCCCCCATCCCTCCTCTCTCCCCTCACCCACCGTAGGGAAATCAGGCCCCATCTCACAATCTTACTCAACCCACCTTAGAGTAATCAACCCATCTTAACCAACCCAACTCTCTCACTTCACTTAAGGGCATTCAGACCACCCAAAGGAATTCACCCCTTCCTTCTCACCCATCCCTCCCCAGGAATTTCACCCCTTCCTTCTCACCCATCCCATTCAAGGGGATTCACCCCTTCCTTCTCACCCATCCCACCCAAGGGAATTCAGGCTCCACTCACACTAAGGGTTTCACACCCCTTCTCTCTCACTCTCCCCACCCAAGGAGTTCAAGCCCCCTCCGCTGTCAGTCACCCACCCAAGGGGTTCAAGCCCCCTTCTCTCTCACCCACCCAACCCAAGGGGATTCAGCCCCCTTCCCTCTCACCCACCCGCTCAAGGGGTTTCAGGCCCCTTGGGCTCTCACTCACCCACCCAGCCCCTCCTACCTTCACCTACCTGCAGTAGGAGCAGCAAACAACCCACTTTCTTAAGGAAACAGCACCTCCAAAGGCGGTGCCTTGTGGGGCGAAGTGTGGTTGTGAAAAATCGCTTCCAGCCCAAGACTCAAATCCCACCCCTGACGTAGCCAGAGCTGACGCGAACCAGAGCCGCCGGCCGGTCGGCTCTGACGATGTCCATTAGGCCTTGCACGTCAGATCCGTTACTTGAGCACCGAGTGCCGTGCCGCGCAAATTCCATCCACCAAACCCACCACCACAAGACACAACCCCAGGAGATGCTGTCCCTAAGGCAGTGAACTCCCCGCTTGCTCCCATGTCCCCACCCACCCACACACCCACCCCACACTTCACCCCCATTCCTGCTTACCTGTACTCACCTTTACCTACCAGAGCCATGCAGAGCGCCATGATGCTGAGGCTGCTGGGAAGGAGGGAGAATAATTAGGAGGGGGGTGCAGGACTCCTCTATAGTCCAGGCAGGGTGCTGCTGGGAGGGAAGGGAGAAGGGAGAGAGGAGGTGAGTGAGAGGGTGGACTCCACTCTCCTGCGCTTGCTCCAGTGCTCCCACCTTCAGCCTGCAGGGAGAAGAGAAGGAAGAGAGAGAGGAGGGGATCAGCTCGCCTCACCTGCTACCATACCACACCAGTAACCATACCACACCTGTTACCTTACCACACCTATTACCTTACCACACCAGTAACCATACCACACCAGTAACCATACCACACCTGTTACCTTACCACACCTGTTACCTTACCACACCAGTAACCATACCACACCAGTAACCATACCACACCTGTTACCTTACCACACCTGTTACCTTACCACACCAATAACCATACCACACCTGTTACCTTACCACACCTGGTACCTTACCACACCTGGTACCTTACCACACCTGGTACCTTACCACACCTGGTACCTTACCACACCTGGTACCTTACCACACCTGGTACCTTACCACACCTGGTACCTTACCACACCTGGTACCTTACCACACCTGGTACCTTACCACACCTGGTACCTTACCACACCTGGTACCTTACCACACCTGTTACCTTACCACACCTGTTACCTTACCACACCTGGTACCTTACCACACCTGGTACCTTACCACACCTGGTACCTTACCACACCTGGTACCTTACCACACCTGGTACCTTACCACACCTGTTACCTTACCACACCTGTTACCTTACCACACCTGGTACCTTACCACACCTGGTACCTTACCACACCTGTTACCTTACCACACCTGTTACCTTACCACACCTGGTACCTTACCACACCTGGTACCTTACCACACCTGGTACCTTACCACACCTGTTACCTTACCACACCTGGTACCTTACCATACCTGGTACCTTACCACACCTGTTACCACCCTCACTCGCAGCTATATCTAGCCTAGTCCCCAGCCCCCTCTGCTGCTACTGCTTTTGCTGTTGACACCTTTGCTGCTACTGCTGCTGCGGGTCTGCTACTCTGCTACCCCTGCCCTGCTGCTTCCTTGCTGCTGCTCCATTGCGGCCCTGCTACAACCTTCAATAGTCTGGGAGGGAGAGAAATGGGAGGGAGGCAGGGGAGCAAGGGACAGCAGTGAGTGCGCGAAGAAGAGCAGGCAGAAGCGAAAAAGGGAAATAGACCAAGAAGCAACAGGAAATACAATGAAAGTGGCCCACCTTGTTCCAGACGACTCCATCCCGATACTCTCCCATCCCATCCCAGCCGAGTGAAGTGCTGCCCCCCTCTCCTCCCACCACTGCTGTTGCCCCTGCTGCCCCAAAGCTGCCCTGCTGCTACGCTGCTACAGCCTTCAATGCTCCGAGAGGGAAGAGAGAGGGAGGGAAGACGGAGGGAGGCAGGGGATCAAGGGACAGCAGTCAGAATGGAAAGAAGAGTGAAGGCAAGGCGAAAGCAAGAGAGGGAAGTGAACATGGGGAGACGACCAAGCAACAGCATGAGTGCAGGAGGGAAAAGAGGCTCACCTTGTTCCAGACGACCCCATCCCGATACTCTCCCATCCCATCCCATCCCATCCGAGTGGAGTCCCCCCTCCCCTCCCACCACTGCCACCTGCACGGCCACAGGGGAGGGGCATGAGGGAGCGTCGGTGTTGACCCCACACCCCTCCCGGCCACCTGCAATGCCAATGCGCACACACAGAGCTAGTCAGAGCGCGGTGGTGGGAGCAAGTTGAAGGGGAAACTGTGACTTGAAATCCAGCACAAGGGAAGGGAGGAGGAACTACTGGTGGAGGCACGGCCACCAGCTGCAGACACCAGGTGGAGGCACCTGGTGGAGGAACTACACCAGGTGGAGGCACCTGAAAAAGAAACATGAGGGGTGTACCTGCACCTGAGAGGGTGTCATGCACCTGAGAGGGTTACCTGAAGTGGAGGGGTCTGTGGCATGTGAACCGAGCTCAACCAGTGGTAGTGTTTCAAAGGGAAGGGCGAAAGCACATCCGACAAAAAAAATGGCAGCAAGAAAGCAAGAAGCCATGATGTGGCGTGCAAGGGTCAGGGCATGGAAGTGGGTGACTTAGATGATAGCGTGAGGGCGAGCTCAAGGCAGCTGCAGCACCACCAGCTGCCTCCCTCCACAGCAGCCCTCCTCCAGGTGCCTCCTCCCTGCACGGCCACAGGGGAGGGGCGTGAAGGAGCGTCGGTGTTGACCCCACACCCCTCCCTGCCACCTGCAACGCGCACACAGAGCTAGTCAAAGCGTGGTGGTGGGAGCAAGCTGAATGGGAAACTGTGACTTGAAATCCAGCACAAGGGAAGGGAGGAGGAGCCACTGGTTGAGGCACGGCCACAAGCTGCAGGCCCAACAGCACCTGAAAAAAAACCTGAGGGGTGTACCTGCACCTGAGGGGGTTACCTGAAGAGTGGGGGTCTGTGGCACATGAACCGAGCTCAACCAGTGGCGTGTTTCAAGAAGACGGTACACAACAGCAGATGGAACGAAAGAAATGGTTTGGCAGGCAAGGGTGCGGGCATGGGGGGACGGGTACTTAGCTGATTGTGTGGTGCAGGCAGAGGGGTGGCTTCAATGGAGAGAGGGCAAGGCGAGCGGGGCTTGAAGGGACGGACCTGCGAGGGCAGACGAGAAGGGAGAGAGAGATAGAGAGATAGTAAGAGGCAGGTGGGAGGGAGCGACATTTTTAAATGAGAAGACAGGCAGCAGTGTGAGTGCAAAATGACGGTGCATGTGACGCCAACCACAATCCCACAAGAGCCGCTACCAACCTGAACCTGAACCTGCACCTGCACCTGAACCTGAACCTGAGGGGGAGTGGGCTCGAGTGGAGTGTGGTGGCAGGGGCGATACTCCAACCTCAACCGTTGATGAGGCCGGCGCTGCTGCCCCGCTGCCCACGCTCCTGCTGCCCGCCCTGGTGCTCCCCTCGCCTGCTGCTCGCCTGCTGCCCTCCCCCTAGCTTGTGAAGGCCTGGCAGGGAAGGGAGGGGAGGGAGGGCAGGGCGGAATGGAAAGGCAGCCGAAGGTAAGAGGGGTTGCAATGGAGAAAAGTGTCAAACACACGTGCAACAGCAGAAACGACAGTGCATGTGACGCCAACCACAACCCCACAAGAGCCTCTACCAACCTGAACCTGCACCTGAACCTGCACCTGAACCTGAACCTGAGGGGGAGTGGACTCGAGTGGAGTGTGGTGGCAGGGGCGATACTGCAACCTCAACTGTTGATGAGGCCGGCGCTGCTGCCCTGCTGCCCGCGATCTTGCTGCCCGCCCTGGTGCTCCCCTCGCCTGCTGCTGGCTGCTGGAAGGGAGAGAATGAGCCGAGGGGAGGAGGGGAGAGGACAGGTTGTGAAGGGGGAGCAGCAGATGAAATGAGAGTGAAGAGTGTAGCATATTCAAATGATGCGTGCATAAATAGCTGCTGCAGTGGCACATTCAAGAGACCTCGTACCAACTGAACCACACTCAATGAAATACCTGAGGCTATACCAAAATTTTGAACCTGCTACCTTGGGGGAGGGAGATCTCTTCAGTGTGACAACGCGCAGGAAGAAGGAGAGCGTGGATGCAGGGAGCAGGCATGGCACGACATAAGTGCAGGCACTTAGCTGTGACACTTAGCTTGGGCACGACATGGAAGGCATGGACTGGGATGGGCCGTGGATGCACAAGGGGTGAATCCCCATGGGTGGGAGGGGTGAGAAGGAAGGGGTGAATCCCCTTGGGTGGGATGGGTGAGAGGGAAGGGGTGAATCCCCTTGGGTGGGATGGGTGAGAAGGAAGGGGTGAATCCCCTTGGGTGGGATGGGTTAGAAGGAAGGGGTGAATCCCCTTGGGTGGGATGGGTGAGAAGGGAGGGGTGAATTCCCTTGGGTGGAATGGGTGAGAAGGAAGGGGTGAATCCCCTTGGGTGGGATGGGTGAGGAGGAAGGGGTGAATCCCCTTGGGTGGGATGGGTGAGAAGGGGTGATTCCCCTTGGGTGGGAGGGTGTGGTGTGTAGGTGGGCGGGTGGGTGCGGTGTTCATGGTGGGTGGTGGCGGGTGGGTACTGATCGTGGGAATGCGGTGTGTTGAGAATGTGTTGTGTGCTCTGGATGTTTTGTATGCTCTGGAAGTTTTGTGTTCTTTGGATGTTTTGTGTGCTCTGGATGCGTTCTATATGAGTGGTATTTTCTGGATGGGTGGTGTGTTGTTCTGGATGCGTGGTGTGTTGTTCTGAATGGGTTGTGTGTTGTTCTGGATGGGTGGTGTGTTGTGGATGGGTGGTGTGTTATGGATGGCTGGTGTGTTGTGGATGGGTGGTGTGTTGTGTATGGGTGGTGTGTTGTGGATGGGTGGTGTGTTCTGGATGGGTGGTGTGTTCTGGATGGGTGGTGTGTTCTGGATGGGTGGTGTGTTCTGGATGGGTGGTGTGTTATGGATGGGTTGTGTGTTCTGGATGGGTTGTGTGTTCTAGATGAGCTGTTGTGACCCCATTTATGTCCGTGACCACTTAGCCTGATACAGCAAATGTAAGAAATCGAGAAAGCTAAAAAATAATGATCGCGGATGCCAGAAGCTCATAGATTATGCCGAGATTTGCCCATAAAGCCGTTTCTCTGTGGGTTTGCTGTTGTATATTAGCTGCAGTATATCTTTTAAGTTCTCTAGGAAGTATGCTTGATTAAACTTGTAGCCTAATAAGCTCATTTTACTACCTTCTGCTGTAAACTTCTCTTTTTTCCCCATGGCTTGCGTATAGATTTTAGGAGAGGAGCTTGTACAGTTCTTAGGGATTTGTGATGGCTGAATTTCCATATGTTCTGCCTGCTCAGTTCCGGTATTTTTGGAGGAACTAGTTTTGTACTCGATACGTTACAAATCAACCTGTTGTACGTTGGGATTCGGTATGGTTTGGGTTAGTGTGGTCGTGTCGTCTCATCTCAGCAGCATGAAGCCCCTGACGTCACGTGACCCGTGAGAGGGTGTTTCAAAGGACCAGGTCGATGCGAGATTGGCGGCAGCGGAATCAGCGAGTCAGCGCGTGTTGTGCATCCAGGCAGCCAGGTCTATCCAGCACGACGGATCCGTACAATCGACCTCCGCAGCACAATCACCCACAGGCATGGCCATGACTGAGGCAACAGGTAGACCGTAGAGAGCTCACTTGCCTTGCCATTGCCAGTTTTTTTATCGCAAGATTCAGCTAAAAAGGGACTCGCTTTGCTAGTTTGCTGATACGTTTGCCTTAAGTCCCGCTGCGTTCTCCACGTCTTTTGTGCACCGCACGGTCGAAGGCCGTCTCTAGCGTGCTTTGTCGCCATTCTCTTCGCTGTAGATTGTCCACAGAAGAATATTGTATATTTTATTTGGGTGGCTGGCTAAGCGGTGTCAGCACAGCAGCATGCTTCGAGCGTGTGTGAGGTTAGCTGGAGATAGAAAGCAGCTGTTACGAGTAGTCCGGACACCGAAACAGAATATACGCGCAGCGAGAGGCTATCGTGGATCGTTGATTCGACATCTGTAGATCATTTCTGGACTCCGCTGAGCCTTTCCCGTTCATTTGGAGCCTGTAGTTTCAGAATCGTTCCGTACAGTAACGCTGTTGGACAAGAGTTTAGGGTTGATGAGACCAAGACAGGAGGTCACGACTCACAATGCATGCATGATGGGGGACTTAGACGAACACGTCATTCCTCCCCATAGTTTCCCAGTTTCGCCGTACTTGCGTACGAAAAGGCGTGCGTGACCTAACCATCCAAGAGTACTATAGGCTAGGCTCGGGTGTTTTCTGTACATAGTAACCCAATGTGCGATTCTGCTTGAATAATCTTCTAAACCTTCGCTCACTCGTCGACAGCTGACTCTTTAAGAAGCGTTCAAAATCTTGCCTACTACTGGCTTCCAGGAGCCTTCAGAAGACTGCTCACTCGGAAAGACGTGACCCTAAAGTGACAGTCTCCGTGAAAGCGAGCTAACAGAGATTTGAGATTACAGAAATCGTTGTATAACGGGGACAGCAGATGGGTCTGACGTCAGTGGTTAGAATAATGGAGGCGGCGGCATCGGCCATGCTGGCCTCTCACCACCACCAGGAAATGACGATCTCTGGAGATCGCGCTACGGGTGCGGTTGCGGAGACGACAACTGAGGCGCCTCGTAAATCGCCTCGAAAATCGCCTCAAAGATCGCCGCACGACGCGGCGGGATCGGCCATGCTGGCCTCTCATCACCACCTCCAAGAAATGGCGGTCTCTGGAGATTGCGCTACGGGCGCGGGTGCGGAGGCGACACGCCTTAGAAGCTCCGCGCACTCCCCGCAACCCGCGCAACCCGCGCAGTCTCCGCAATCCGAGATCGTTCCTGTCGGGGACGCGGGGAGCGGCGCGCAGGCGCAAGCGCAAGCGCTAGATCCGGCGGAGAAGCGGCTGCTGGAGCTGGGGTACCGACAGGAGCTGAAGCGACGCCTGGTGGGGCTCTAGTGAGGAGGGTGGGGTAGAGGGAGGGAATGGGGAGGGGAGGGGAATAGAATAGGGTGGCTTTCGAATCGACCTAAAGACAAGCGGCTTCTGGAGCTGGGGTACCGACAGGAGCTGAAGCGACGCCTGGTGGGGCTCTAGTGAGGAGGGTGGGGTAGAGGGAGGAAATGGGGAGGGGAGGGGAATAGAATAGGGTGGCTTTTGAATCGACCTAAAGACAAGCGGCTTCTGGAGCTGGGGTACTGACAGGAGCTGAAGCGACGCGTGGTGGGGCTCGGTGGGAGATGGGGGGAGGGTGGTGGGGAGGGAGTGGGGAGGCGGGATAGAATAGGGTGGCTTTGAAGACGTCTCAAGGGAAGGGACTTGTGGAGCTGGGCTACAAGCAAGTGCTGAAGTGACGCCTGCTGGGGCTCTATGGGTGGAAGGGAGGGGTGGGGAAGGGTCAGGATGGGTCTGCGGGCTAGTGATGCCAGGGTGGGCTAGGGATGAGCTTTGAGGCGAGAGATTCGTGAGAATTTTGAAAGAACACCTGTCTTCCTGCCCCTACCCCGTGCCTGCCTCCAACACCATTCTCCTCTCCCAGGGCTGACTTTTGAGTCGACTCAAAACTCAAGAGTCAACTTTTGAGTTGACTCAAAGGAAGACTCGTGAGAATTCTGAGGGAGCACCTGACTTCCCTGCCTCTACCCCGTCCCTGCCCCCAACACCATTCTCCCCCTCCCAGGGCTGGCTGGAGTTCTTCGGGTCTCAGCGGCGGTCGTTAATTCCTACATGGCGACCGTGCCCTTCCTCTCTTCCCCCCCTTTCCTACCACCAACACCATTCCCCCGCTCTCAGTGTCAGCAGCGGTCATGAACCCATACATGACAGCCGTGCCACTCCTGTTCCCTTTTCCGGGCCACCACCATCATTCCCGCTCCCCAGGGCTGGCTAGAAATCTTTGGCGTGTCAGCAGCGGTCATGAACCCATACATGACGGCCGTGCCCTTCTTTGGCTTCGCGCTGCTGCAAGCCGGGCCTGTGGGCGTGGTGTGGCCGTGGGTTGTTCTCGCTCCCTTCGCCCTCTGCATGGTGCTTGTTATCGCTGAAGTCTGCTCCTCCTTCCCCGTGAGTCCGCTGCTCCCTCTGCTCCTCTCTTCCCCACCCAATTCATGCCCTACCTGCCCTCCCCCGCATCAGTCTGTCCCACCCCCATGCCCCGCCTGTCCTTCCCCCATATTCCTTCTCCCCCCTCTAACCTTCCCGCTTCCTCCTTTTCCCCGACTCCTCCGGAACGTACCCACTTCTTCCCCTACCCACCCACTACCGCCCATATCCACTGCACACATACATCAGGCTCGCTGTATTTCTGGGCGGCCAGCTTGTCCCTGGCCACCCAATTCAATACTCGAACGTCCTCACCTTCCCCATGCCGCGCCTGTATGTTGTTCCTCTTCCCCACTTCCCTGCTTGTCCTCCCCACCCCTGCAGACGTCAGGCTCGCTCTACTTCTGGGCGGCCAGCCTGTCCCCCCCGCGGTGGAAGCCACTGGTGGCGTGGGTGACGGTGTGGCTCGAGGTGATCGCGCTCTCTGTGTGCGCCAGCAGCATCGCCTTCCCAGGTGTGTTCTGTTCTGAGTTGACTCAAAACACACCTGGCACCTCGCCTCCTAGCTAGCTCGCCTTAATGTCAGTCCGTGCTCTCATCTCCCTGTGCCCCCTCTGTGCAGCGGCGCAGCTGGTGCAGATGATGGTGCACCACATGGCAAGCGGGGAGCACCTCGCCTCCACGGCCTTCTTCTTCGCCCTCTACTGCGCGCTGCTGCTCTCCTGGGCGCTCCTCAACTCCCTCTCCCTCACCTGCATCTCGCGCCTCCTCGATTGCTACGTCTACTTCGCTGTGGCCTACACCATCACCATCGTGAGTCATACCATTCCCTCACTCCCGTGTTCTGAGGTGCCTCACCTAAACTCCCTCTCCCTCACCTGTGTCTCGCGCCTCCTCGGTTGCTACGTCTAGAATACAATTCCCCTCCCAACCATCCCGTGTACCCTTCGTACCATCAGGTGACAGTGCTGCCAGCAGTAGCAGTGGAGCTCAAGCCACCCTCCTTCATTTTCCTCGAGTACCAGTCAGGCTGTCCCATCACAGGCGTGTGCTCACTGCTCCCCTCGCTCATCCTCGCCGGCCTGCTGCCACACTTCTCCTTCTACGGATTTGATTCTGCTGCCCACGTCACAGAGGAGACAAGGAACTCGGACGTATCGGGCCCGAGGGCCATCCTGGGGTCGTTTCTGGTGCAGGTGGTGTTTGGTTTCGCCATCCTCGTCACCTTCACCGCCTGCATCCAGGTGAGAATGTCTCCCTGCATGCACGCCGTCACATTGTATCGCATCACACCGCATCACACCGCATCGCGTCTCATCTCGTCGCACCTCATCGCATCAAAAGCGCAGCGCATACATAGCTCGTTGCAATGCGATGCGTGCAAGTGTCTTATGGTCATGACCTGCTTGGTTCATCCCCTCCCCCTCTCCCCCAACAGGGCGACTACCACGCTCTCTTCACGGCCCAGTGCGCACCCTTCATAGATCCCATCATGTACTCCACGGGAGAAGGCACGCCCTTCATGGATCCCGCTCACTTCACCCAAAGCATCTCTCCTGCCCCCTCCCCCCCCTTTTCCCTCCCCCCCTCCCTTCCCCTCCTCCCTCCCCCACAGGGCGACTACCGCACTCTCTTCACGGCAGAGGGCTCGTCCTTCATGGATCCCGTCGTGCACCTCCTCATATCCCTCTTCACCGCTCGCTATGGCTCCGCCACCGGCGCCTACGTGCTCCTCTTCCTCATGGTCATCCACTTTTATGCCGCCGGCTTCGGGGTCACGCTCGCGTCCTCGCGGGCCATCTATGCGGCCAGCAGGGATGGCGCCATGCCATGGTCGCGCGTTTGGCGGACCCTGTCCAGGCGCAACCGCATTCCTGTCAGGGCCATCTGGCTGTCTACCTTCATCGCCATCATTTTCGGCGTCCCCAGCTTCTTGTGAGTCATGTTTGTCTTGCGCTGCTGCTGCTTCGGAGTCACGCATCAAAGGCCAGCAGGGACGGCGCCATGGCCTTTTCGCGCGTGTGGAGAACGCTGTCGAGGCGCAACCACATTCCTGTCAGGGCCATCTGGCTCTCCACCTTCATCGCTGTTGCATCTGGAGTCCCTAGTTTCTTGTGAGCCCCCTTCTAGCTGGGTCCTTTGTTTTGTTCGTTTGTTTTTTCTGGTTTGTGCTGTTTTGTTTTGTTTTGTTTTGTTTGTTTGTTTGTTTTGTTCTGTTTTGTTTGTTTGTTTGTTTTGTTTTGTTTGTTTGTTTGTTTGTTTGTCTGTTTTATTTTCTTTCTTTCTCTTCCGCTCAATGGTGCCCAGCGATGTTTTGTGACTCCCTCTATGCAGAGCCTCATCCCCTGTAACGCATTCCTCCACCTCCACCCTCTCACCGGTAATCCCCGCAGCTCTCCGACGTTCTTTGGAACAGTGGCAGCGGTGACGTCAGCAGCCTGGCTGGGAACATACGGCATTGTCGTCTTCTTCCGCCTCATCATCCCTCCGCACCGCTTCAAACCTGGCCCCTTCTCCCTCGGCCGCTGCGCGCGGCCGCTCTGCGTAGTGGCACTGGGCTATATAGTGTACACCATCGGGGTATTCATGGCGCCAATCTTCTACCCTATCACGTGGGAGACCTTCAACTATGCCCCCATTGGTGAGCTTGTGGCTTCGCTTCTCATTCACATGAAATTTCTGAGTGGGTGTCATGGTATTTGATTGCGGAACTATTATTCCCCGCGTAGTTCCCCATGTAGTTTCTTTCTTGGCCGCACTAATACTTGTTCACTTGTTTTCCGTCATTTGCGTGCGGCACTGCAGCATCACTTCTGCTGATGAGCTTTGTCATCCTATGGTGGATGGTGGATGCACATCGATGGTTTGTTGGCCCAGTTCCATCCGTTACTACTACATCATCAATTATCGAATTACACTCCACAGCCTCACATCGGCCCCAAGTGTTGCTGGATGAATTGGAACCTCACCACCACTCGCCTAGCCTACCGCAAATGGTAGACCTATAAAAGGAGGCCATGTATGTAAATTGAAGTATGTATCCCTTGGGTTTTTTTTTTTTTTTTTTTTTTTTTTTTTTTTTTTTTTTTTTTTTTTTTTATAATGGTAATCTGTTTCTATCATGCTGTCTGACTAGATATGTGGGAGAGTGGCTTATGTATCCCTGATGTTTAATTTACTTTCTTGGCTTGTCCATAATTTGTAGGGTGGATTCCATTTTGTTGTCAGCTTCATATATCTGCATTCGATATTCTGCTCTATCGCGAACATCTAGTCTATTTGCGACAGTCTGTCAGACTGACATGTTCCAGCGAGTGGCGGGAAGTTTTTGAACTCTCGAGGAATGCGCGCTGCGAAAGCAGAGAGTTTGAAGTTTCTCAGGCAAACAATTCCCGATGACCGTGCCGAGGTGGTCTCTGCTCATGCTGCGGTAACCTGTGCGAAGCTTGATCTGAAAATGGCTGCTGATTTCTTTCTCACTGTCCCTCTCTAGCTGACCACAACAGTTTCTTCTGCTCTGTTCTGTCTTTCACCTTCTGTAGTGTAACTCCTAAAATCTAGTTTAACTCCTGAGTTATTTCTGTATCGCAACAGCGGTTTCGGTAGGGTAAGCTTAGCTTGGGCGGCTTTTGCTTTGATTCGTACTGCAGCGAACCAGGCAATCCTTCAGTACCGGTAGTGTTTTATGCTACTCCGCTGAACATACTTATTCCCGTCGTAGCTTCCGTAATTCACTCATTAGCCTTATTAGCTATCGGTGATTCTGGCTGTTTAGAAAGACCATAGGTCGCCGAATAGGTAGCTTCGATTTAATAAGCGTATAGGCGATTAGTCAGCTATACAATTACTGATTTTGGCCGTCTACTGGCGTCGAGATAATGGACCAGCCGAGTCACGCTGCCGGAGCAAGCCTTCCAGATATGAAAGAAAACATCAATCCTATCCTATTCTCCTCACCGGTAAGCAAACTGGAAGTCAAATTGAAAAAAAGTGCATTGATCCTTATGACACGAAAGATTGCATCCTTGCAGGTGGTGAAAAGCTCTCCGCTACGAGGCGTTCTCAAATCCCAGAGCTCCGTTGACGGAAAACGTCACATCTCTCCGAGCGGACGTCGACTTTCACGCGGTCGCCGCGTGAGCTTCGCCAAGGATGAATGTTCCGTCCGCACCATTTCCCCTCGAGCGAACGAGCAAGAGTAAGTACCATGTCGCTTCGTTTCCCATCCGCTTCTTCTTTTTTAAATCCCGTCAAAGCATCGCACTCTAACCCTGCTATCCTGGTTTCCTTCACAGGAATGGCAAGCCAAAGGAGCCGCTTATCATCCCTCTCGACAGCTTTGTCGCGATGCCAGGCGACAGCCCGACGACATTTGGTAACCAGATCGAGAACACGATGCGGTGGGAGGAATTCTCCATCACGCAAGCCGTGCCTAATCTTTGGAACCTCGCAGCGCGTGACTCGTTGGACGGCAAGCAGCTGGCTGCTCTGCCGGCAGCTGCACTGACGGAAGGAACCAGTCAGCCGGCAGCGCAACCAGCAGACGGTCAGAAGGTCGGTGGAAAGCGGCAGCTTCCGGCCGAGGGATTGAGTCCGACCCGATGCTCCCCGCGACTGAAGAAACGACAGGAGATTGCTGCACTGGCGGTCTCCTCGTCGCCGAGACCCCTCTTCGCGATGTCGCCTCCAGCGTCGCCGAAGTCGCCGAAATCGCCCAAAGCCCCTAGGTCGCCGAAGACTTCCAAGGTCGCGGAGTCTGTGTCGCCGAGGCGATCGCCGAGAAATCATGCGAAATCTCGCTTGGCGTTGAAGTGTGCGGGGGAGGTCGCAGAGTCGCACGGGCGAGGGAAGGCGACAGCAGCAGCGTCGCCGGCAGCAGCCTCTCCTAAGCCTGGAGAACGGGCGAATCGGAGGGTGAACACTCGTTGTAAGGACCGACGTAACTTTGAGGAGTGGATTCAGAAGGACGACGGGCTCAGTACCGTCGGTACCGCGGCTGAGGATGCGAAGAAAAGCGGCGGCGGAAACGATCGTGAGAAGGCACCCGTGGAAGGGAAGACTGGAGAGGCTGAGGAAGGAAAGTCGGAGCCAGCGGCTGTTGCCGGCATTGTCCGCAATGTTAGTGCGGGGAAAGGGAGCTCGGGGCTCGTCGACCCAGCCCACGTCGTCGCCGAGAAGCAGAACCCGCCAATGGCGGTCTCGGCAATGTCAGCCGCGACGCCTGAGGGAGCGGCTGGCGGGGAGCAGGCGGCTGCAGCGTGCGACGGAGTGACGCCGGAGGAGGCCGTCGCGCGTTCGGGCTTGCTGTCGTCGTTCCTCAGTCCGGGGCTCGACGACGTGAAGGGCATGGGGCTGGGGTTCTCGCTCACCCCCGTCGACAAGTCCAGGGCCGCGATCACAGAACCCGAACGCGGCGCAGTGGCGGTCACGGCCGCGGCGGCGGCGGCAGCTGAAGCAGCAGGAGAGGGTATCGCTCCCGCGCCTGAACAACTCATGTCGTCGTTTCTGACCCCTGGTGTGTTGGACCACAGCGATGGGGACCTTGACGGGCTGCTCGAGACGCCGGACGGGGCTAGCTCAGGCGTGGGGAGGCGTACGGGCGGTGCTGATTGGTTGGATAGTGCGCTACTGGGCTTGGAAAAGGGTGTTGGTGCTGCGGGTTTCGCGGGTGATGCGGGGAGTCCGCTGCAGCTGGTGGGTGAGGCGGTCGCGCTGGATCCGCTTCCGCGCGTTCCGCTGGATCCGCCTCAGGAGTGCGCGCCGCTGCGTCTGGAGAGCGCGCTGAACGCCGCGCTGTTGCTGCCGGCGCCACTCGCGGCGAACGATCAGGCGGATGGAGCGGCGGCTGTTGGGAAGCTCTCCGGCGATGGTGCCTTCGGCTCCCCGCAGGACCGCATTGCGGGAGAGGGGGGTGGCGGCGAAGGGGCAGAGGGCGGAGCAGCGGGGAGTTACGGTGGGGAAGGTCGCGCGCGCGAGAGCGTGGGGAAGAAGGGGCGGCGGGAAAGCACTGGCACGAGTCCGGAACCAGGTGCTTGGAGGGAGAGCGGGAAGGAGGGCGGTGGAGAGGCGGGGGACGCGGGGGAAGCGGGGGGCAGAGTCGAGGAGATGGCGGGAGAGGAAGAGGCGGCAACTGAGTTTTCCACAATCGGCCGATTCCCCTACCTGACTGCCCGCCCCGCTGTCACCGCGTCCGTGGGCGGGATGGCTCCTATCGAGGCGGGGACGGGCGCGGAGGAGATGGAGACTCCGCCGAGGCGGGTGGCGAAGAGCAGGAGCGGCGGAGGCGGTGCGCGCGAGGCGGAAGGCGGTTCGCCGAGGGACGGGGACTCGCCCATCATGGGTGTGGTGTCCGCCGGCAAGGAGGGCGCGGGCGGCAGCGCCAGGCAGGACGGAAAGGTTGCGCGGAGTGGGGGGAAACGGGGGGATGCGGAAGATGGAGAGAACGGGGGGGATGAGGGTGATGCGGAGGAGCGGAGTATGGGGCTGGTGGGGTGGAGCGAGGGAGTGAGGCGGGCGTTTGAGGATGTGGAGATGGGGGAGGAGCTGGTGGGGGGGTTCGATCTGGCGGAAGTGGGCTGGGGGGAGGAGATGGCGGGCGGGGTGGGCGGAGGAATGGAGAGTGCGGAGCAGGCGCGCATCCGCGGCGTCCGGTGGCTCGAGTGGTTCTTTTCCATGGCTGGGGTGAGTGCAGCTCGTGGTGCTGGCTGTGATGTGAAGCAGTGGCATCGTAGTGTGTTGTTGTGTGAGCGTGCGATTCGGGGTCTTATATCCAGCGATTTCACACTCTTTCGTGATCTCCTGCCCCGCACGCGTGCTCCCCCTCCGCAGATGTCGCTAGAGAAGCGCAAGTCGGGGGTGCTGGAGCAGTCCCCCTGGACTCCGCGCACGCCCAGGGAGCGCGCGGGGGAAGCGAGTGCGGGAGAGCGCCTGTTCCGCCGCGTGTGCCTGCAGCCGCAGGTGAGAGCGGCGAGAGATTAAGGACGGCACTGGACAGGTGGGGACTTGCAGATTAAGGAGGATGGCTAGTGAGGAAGCGTATCTAGAGCATCGCTCGGCCAAGCGATCAAGAAAGTGGAAATGAAATGGGAAGGAAAGGAAGTGATGAGCCAACGGGGAAAGGAAGGTGTTACCGGCCTGCTGGCTTCGTGTCTGGGGCTGTGTTGACTCCGCTGTGCGCTGTTGAATCGACCCACATGTCGCCTTGCTGTGTGCTGTGCTGGCACGGGTGTGTGTGTGTGTGTGTGTGTGTGTGTGTGTGTGTGTGTGTGTGTGTGTGTGTGTTGTGCCATAAGGCAGGAGGAGGCGGTGGAGAAGCTGTGCGCGGAGCTGCTGGCGCGGGTGGCCGAGGAGCAGCAGCAGACAGACGCGCTCGAGGCAGCCATGACCACCAGCAGCACGGCACTCGCCCAGCTCGCTGCTGTGAGTGGCCCACTCTCTTTCCTCCCTCCTCCCCTCGCCGCGCTCTCCCTCTCTCTCTTTCCCACTGGCTGGCCGAGCAGCAGCAGACAGACGCGCTTGAGGCCACCATGGCTGCCAGCAGCACGGCACTCACCCAGCTCGCTGCTGTGAGTGGCCCACGCTCGGGCCCCCTCCCCTCCTCCCACCTCTCATGTCTTTCCGTCGTTCTTGCTCCCTCTCTGTCTTTCCCACTGATATCCCCCACATGCGCTTGCACACACACACGCATGCACACAGGTGCAAACTGAAGATTTCTTGCCAGTGATTTTGCTCGATTTTCACTCTGCCACTGCTCTGTTCTGCTCTTCTCTGATCCTTCTGCTCTTTTGCACTCTGTTCTACTCTGTCGCCCGCTCCTCTGCTGTGCGCCCTGCAGCAAGGCAACCCCGAGCAGCAGAAGGTGCTCAAGGAGCGGCTGCTCGCCCTCAAGAGCCTGCTCAGGTGAGGCGGCAGGGGGTTGGGGCCACAGGAGTGAGGTGACATTTGAGGCGACTCAAAAGCACAAGGTGCTCAAGGAGCGACTGCTCGCCCTCAAGAGCCTGCTCAGGTGAGGCGGCAGGGGGTTGGGGCCACAGGAGTGAGGTGACATTTGAGGCGACTCAAAAGCACAAGGTGCTCAAGGAGCGACTGCTCGCCCTCAAGAGCCTGCTCAGGTGAGGCGGCAGGACGGGATTATTTGGACGGGGCTTCAGGACGGGGGTCAACGCAATGAGCCGGTCGCATCGGATGGGATGATGGGTGCTGATTCTGTTGCCGCCAAATGACTTCTTCACAGCACTTGCACAGTTGGTTCGCACAGTCCATTCGCACATTTTAGATCAGCATGGCCACCAGCTATCCTCCAACACGCTCGTGTGGAACTTGTTCCTCTAAACTGATGTGTGCCGCATGCGTGCGTGGATATGCATGCGTGTGTGTGCGTGGATACGCATGCGTGTGTGTGTTCCCCGGCCATGCATGTGTGGATGGCAGGATGGAGACGAAGGCGGAGTGGCAGAGGGTGCGGACGCAGCTGGAGGCGGAGAGGAGCCGCGCCCTGGACCACGCCGAACGCATGCTGCAGGTGCGTGCTAGCCTGCTTGCCTACTTCCCTGCTTGCTCGCGCCTCTGCTTGCCTGCTTGCCTTGTGTATTGTGACGTCTCAAAATTGAACCACAGCAAGCTCTTGCTGCATATGCTTGCTTGCCCGTTCCCTGTAAAGCACTCACAGCACCCTGATCCAGCAGCACACAAGAAAAGAGATGCCTCTTGCCACCTATTCGCCCCATCGCTCCATGTTCTGGATTGTTTGCCGCCGATCTTGACTCCCTGTGCATTTCAGGTGGAGCAGCATCGGGTGACGGAGCGCAGGGCGGCGGAAGAGGCAGCAGCGAGGCGAGTGGGCGAGCTGCTGGCGGACGTGAGGGCGAGGAGGGCCGCGGCAGAGCGAGCGCTCAAGGAGAGGGAGGAGAAGGCAGCGGCGCATCAGCAAAGCCGGCTCCAGGAGCTGAGACAGCAGGTGCGCTTGCTGTTCCGTTTCCTTGAATGCGCCTTGCATCTTCTACGTGCTTTCTGCCTTTCCACTGCTTTTGCTGACGCTGCACCCACTCATCCACCCACCCATGTGCGGCATGGCAGAGGCAGCGTCTGCAGGAGGAGATGGACGCCATGCGGAGAGAGCTGGCCGCCCGCCATGAGGCACTCCAATCTATAGTCGACTCAAATATCCATCCATTCACCCGCCCACCCATCCACCCACCCATGTGCGGCATGGCAGAGGCAGCGTCTGCTGGAGGAGACGGACGCCATGCGGAGAGAGCTGGCCGCGCGCCACGAGGCCCTGCAGGCCCGCTGCCAGCCCATGGGCGAGCCCCAGATGCAGACACAGACAAGGACACAGTCACAGGCGCGGATACAGTTACAGCCACAGACAGTGGCTCAGCCTGCGCCTGGGACGGCAGAAGAAGGAGGTTTCAGGGCCGCTGCAGGGAAGACCGGGGTGGAAGGTGCTGAGGGAGAGAACACGGGTGCTGTGTCGGACCCTGTCAGAGCTGCCAAGATAACGGAGTTTCTGCAGGTACAGAGCGGTTCTGGGTCCTTGCTGTTGCCACCTGTCCCACTTGATCTGGAGGTTCAATCTGCTCTCCCAGCCCACAGCTCATTTGATTATGCCAACATCTCTCGTGATTCTATCTACCACCCTTGCCAACCGTGCCACTCCTGCCTTCCCCCTGCCAACCCCTGTCTACCCCTGTCTACCCCTGCCTCCCCCTGCCTCCCCCTGTCTCCCCCTGTCTCCCCCTGTCCCCCCCTGTCTCTCCCTGTCTCTCCCTGTCTCTCCCTGTCCCCCCTTGTCTCCCCCTGTCTCCCCCTGTCTCCCCCTGTCTCTCCCTGTCTCTCCCTGCCTCCAACTGCCACCCTGCGTGCCACTGGCAGGGGTGGAGGCTGCGTGAGTACCAGCAGTCACAAGACGGCACCCAGATGGACCTCGTGCTCTCCGTGCTCCACTTTGTCACCCTCAGGTGCGCTGCTCACGAAAACAATCTGGATGCATGGCTGCATGGGTGTGTGCATGGCCGCATGGGGATGTGTGCATGGCCGCATGTGGGTGTGTGCATGGCCGCATGGGGGTGTGTGCATGGGTGCATGGGGGGTTGCATACGTATGCACCATGACTTCTCTATGACTCATTCTCCCTTCGTGGATCCATTGAACTTCTTCACTACGTGCCACTGGTATTCCTCCTCAACCCCTCTCTCTGCTCGCCCCTTCTCCCTGCTCAACCCCTCTCTCTGCTCACCGCCTTAACAGAGTGCACATCGACCTGGCGACATCTTCCTTCTCCCTCTCGCCAGCCATCAACCATTCAGTGGTCGCCAAGGTGCGCTCGGCTCCGACCCTCGCATGTTGTTTCTGCTCCAGCCCTCGCATGCGGTTTCATCCCCTGCCTAGCCTCCTCTCCTTCTCCCTCTCGCCAACAATCAACCACTCAGTGGTCGCCAAGGTGAGCTCTGCTCCTGCCCTCGCATGTCCTTATGCCCCTACTCTCCTATGAAGGCTTTCTGTGAAGTTTTTCCACCATCACCCATCTCACGTGATAAAAGAAGCGTTTTGAGACGTCTCAAACCACCATCACGCATCTCACCGTGCGCATCTCACTATGCCCCTCACACTGTGCTCCTCACCCTGTTCCCCTCCTCCCTCCACCATCGCCTCTCTCACCACTCCTCCCCTTTAATGTAACCACATATGACAGAGACACCAGTGGTAGGAACCGAGGGATTTCAACTCACACCCCTTTCACCCTCCCATGTCCTCTCTTCCCCCTCCCCTGCGTCACATGGCCTCCTTCTCACAGCAATTCCCTCTCTTTGAGGTGGTGCCTGCAATGGAAGCGCTGGTGGTTGGGCCTACAGGAGGTTCCTCTCAGCCGCGTTCCTCGCCCCTCACTGCTGCTGCCCTCGCCGCTGCTTACCAGGTACCATGACCACTGCAGCAGCATAGCTGTAACTCCCAGCATGCACTTAGCAGCTGTGCCATTGCCCGTTGCCGTGCTGAACTGTGTAATGTGCTTCGTTTTATCTTCCTTGGAGCAAGCACAAGCATGTTCACTCAGGCCATCCGAGCATATCGATGACCCTGCCTCACTTGCATCCTCGCATACCTAGCTATGTGTGCTATCAATCCACCACCATACATGTCATTCTCCCACCCATGCGTGTCATGCAGGGAGTGCTGCTACGAGCAGGGCGCACACACGCGTTGGTGCAGGAGCTGTGGGAGCAGAGGCAGCAGCTCATGAGGGTCATGCCATGCCTTACCATGCAGCCATATGGCACCTCAGGTGAGCTCCAAAAGTGACCTGGGTGGACTCAAATGTCATCCTGTGAGTCAAATCAAGTTGCAGCACCTCCTGCAGGGGCAACTGCTGCCATTGCTGCTGGAGAAGTCTTGTTCTCCACTTCCCTGCAACACATCCTACTCGCATCGTTTGAATCGTTGCATGCTTGCTCTGATTCTACTCCAGAAGTATCAGCTGCTAGACACATCTCTCCATCCATCTGCCCCCCCATGTGCCCACAGGTGATGTCGTGGTGCGGGCTTCGTTCGTGCAATTTGATCCCTTCACCAAGGTCATTCTCAGCTGTCGCATTCCCTACCAAATAAGGTACCTGACTGAGCACATTCTTTTCATAAGATACTTCTTATGTTTCATCTCATTCTTCTCATTGTTTCATCTCATCTAAGACACTTCCTGTTCTCCTCCCAATGCCCCCCCTGCAGCGGCATGTCTTATCCATTCATGCGCCCCCACGTGGAGGTGGAGGTGCCTCACAGCCGCAAGCTGCCTGCACAGCAGGTGCAGCACGCAGTGGCAGCAGCAGCAGCGGGGGTGCCTGAGGGGTATGGGCTCATGGCCCGCATGCTGCAAGCGGTGGCAGGTACCCTCCAGACTCTCATTGGGAATTGAGAAACAGCTGTATAACAAGTAGAAGCAGCAGCAGCAGCGGGGGTGCCTGAGGGGTATGGGCTCATGGCCCGCATACTGCATAAGGTGGCCAGTACACTCAAGGTTCTTCTTCAGGAGTGAGGTGCAACACAGCAAGTAAGGGGCAGTAGTAGACTCACTGACCAGAGAAGATGAGAGGCACAGGCTTGTGACTAGCATGTTGTGGGGCCAGAAGTGATATGCATACTCTTCTAACAGGTAGATGCCAGCATACGGGTCGTGCATGAAATGTGCAGCTTCTTGTGCACAAGAAACATTAACCAGACCTGTTAGGTTAGGAACAACAACCAGTGGCAAGGCAAGCCCTTGTGTATTTGATATCTGACACCCTTTTTGTATAGGCTCACAGAACAAAGGCTCCCATGCATGAAAAGATGTCACCTGAAGCTCCAAGCACAGCTGTTGAATTTGGTAGAATTGAATGAGCAACAAGTACTGGCATCACACATGACAACTGGTAGATTTGAATGAGCAACAAGTACTGGCATCACACATGACAACTGGTAGAATTGAATGAGCAACAAGTACTGGCATCACACATGACAACTGGTAGCGCTGTCAGCTACATGTGCATGCCCAGTTGGTGCATGGGGGTGAAGATTCGCACACATATGTACATAGTTACTCGCATCTGGTCAAGTTGCGAAGGAGCTACAAGCGAGGCTTGTGCAAGACATACATCACTGCCCATAACGTCTCTGCCTGTGAATTCATTGTTCGTGCCTTCACTGCCAGTGCACAGCTGCATCCACCCCAACAGAACCATCCTGTTGAGCTCAGCAATCCAGCACTCGAGTTAGAAGGGTGAAGGAGCTACAAGTGTGGCTTGGGCAAGCCATCTCTGCCCATGACATCTCTGCCTCCACTGCCCGTTCCTTCAGTGTCACCACACAGCTGCATCCACCCAGACAGCACCATCTTGTTGCGCTCTGCAATCCAGCACTCGAGTTAGAAGGGTGAAGGAGCTATAAGCGTGACTTGGGCGAACCATTGCTGCTCATGACGTCTCTGCCTTCACTGCCTGCGGCTTCACTGTCAGCACACAGCTGCATCCACCCAGACAGCACCATCCTGTTGCACTCACCAATCCAGCACTCAAAGCTCACACGCTTCAACGGCCCCCCTCCTCTCACGCCCTCCCCTCCCGAACCTGCTGCTGATTCTTCTTCCCCTGCTGCGCTTGATGCTGGTATGGACACGGGCTGCCAGGTTCGGGTGATGAGAGTCTCGCCCGGGAACACATGCCCGGTGAACCGAACCTGCACGCTGTGGAAGAGGCTCGGGTCACCCCTGCAGCAGGTTCGAAGGATGGCTCGGGTGGCGAAGCCGAGTGTGCAGAGGCCGTGCAGGATCGGGCGAGGATAGCTGGAGGGTTGGACGAGGGGAGAGAGGGATTGAGGGTGGGGTATGTGGTGTTGAGGTCGGGATTGAGGTGGGTGGAGGTGGGTTGAGGTGGGTTGAGGTGGGAAGGCAACATAGATCGATGAGGTAGAGGCGATTGAGACGGTGAGAAAATGCAGAGAGCAGGGGAATGGGAGATATAAAGGCAAGGCGCTAGAGCAAAGGCATTGTACCTTTTTAACAAGACACAACGTATCAAGGCTTGATGGGCTTAGACAGAAGAGTAGGATAGGAGACATTGAAAAAGGGCTAGTTACCCTGCAGTGGCGGCGAATTCAGGGTCGGAGTGGAGGGGGTTGAGGTCGCCACAGAGGCGATACAGCAGGGCCTGGTTGGGGGGGATGCGCTCCTCTGCTGATGCATGAGGTGCGGGGCGGGCGGATGGCTGCTTGGGGACTGCGCTGCCATGTGCTGCTGGTTGCTGTGGCGGTTGAGATAGCCTCGCGGAAGCAGCGGGAGTAGCAGGGTGTGGTGTGGTGGGGCAGGGTGTGGTGTGGTGGGGCAGGGTGTGATGTGGTGGGGCAGGGTGTGGTGTGGTGGTCGGATTAGAGGAGAAGCCTCCAGTACCACGCAGCACAATGGATGACCTGATGAATGGGGTTGTGGCATGGCATGGGATGAAATGGAATGGAATAGCACAGGATAGAATGGAAGGTGAGAAGGATGAAAGGGGATGCCATGGCATGCCACAAATAGGGCGGATGAAGGCACATGGAAAGCTATGAATCGACACAATAGCATGCTCCTGCTGCAACAACAGGCAGCCCAAACAGTTAAAACTGCCTCCTACAGTTGAGCAACGTCTCACACACACCTGTTGACTGCCAGCTTGATTCCTCACTCGCGGTCGAACGACACTGTCTCCACATCCACTATGGCCGCCCTGCCCTTGTCCTTCAGGGCTGATATGCGCGCGCGATTCACCACCTGCCATGGAGTGAAGTGAACACCGAGGGACAGGCATACGGACAGGAAAGAAACGATAACACAGATAAACAACATGCCTTCCTGCCCTTTTCCTTCAGGGCTGATATGCGCGCGCGATTCACCACCTGCCATTCAACGCTTCTTCAATCAAATGGTACACACGTTCTTGGCCTGGTACCATGCCCTATAAGTTGCACTGCCCACGGAATGGCTGGAGGGGCTAGGTGGGAACTTGGGGAGGTGGTGCGGGCTCACCTTGGCAGCGGTGGGCAGGGGCCGGAAGAGTCGCACATAGTGCTCTCCGTGCAGCAGTAGAGCCGGATCGAAGCTGGGGGAGGAATGGGAGGAGTGCGAATGTGAGAGGGATAGAGGAGGAGAAAGGTTGACTGACTGCAATACGAATAGAGGGCGGATGGATGAGGCACACAGGCAAAACGGTGTGGAGTTATCAGAAAAGGATCGAGAGGGGGCGGAGAAGAAGGGGTTAGCAGCATGGTCCCATCCAATTCACTCACACGAGCTCATCGATGACGAGAAATTGTTAATTGACAGAGGAAGGGAAAGGGTGTGGGGGTATACAGAAAGACGCAAGAGAGAAATGAGCGGAATGCGGCTACCATGGTCCCAATCCATCCACTCATACGAGCCCTTTGACTGCAAGGAGTTGCTCGATGAGGGAGGAGGGGAAGAGCGTCCGGCATAGAGAGAGCAGCAGAGCGGAAGGAGCGGAAAGGGGTTACCAGCATGGTTCCATCCTATCCCATCCACTCACACGAGCCCTTCGACAGCAAGGAGTTGCTCTATGAGGGAGGAGGGGAAGAGAACCGCAAAGGTGGGGAGGACCTGCGGTGTGAGTGGCGGCACAAGGAGGAGGGAGGGACATGAGGGATGAAAGGAATGATGGGGAATGAGGGGTAATGATGATGGGGAATGATGGGGAATGATGAAGGGAATGAGAGGTAATGAGTTAGGGAGCTGTCAAGGGCATTGTGTGCCCTCGTGGAACGTGTAGTGAGTCCAGTTTTGAGACGAATCAACATAGAGCTGATAAGGGCACTGTGTGCCCTCGTGGAACGTGCAGTGAGTCCAGTTTTGAGACGAATCAACATAGAGCTGTGAAGGGCACTATGTGCCCTCGTGGAACATGCAGTGAGTCCAGTTTTGAGACGAATCAACATAGAGCTGTTAAGGGCACTGTGTGCCCTCGTGGAACGTGTAGTGAGTCCAGTTTTGAGACGAATCAACATAGAGCTGTTAAGGGCACTGTGTGCCCTCGTGGAACGTGTAGTGAGTCCTGTATTGAGACGAATCAACATAGAGCTGTGAAGGGCACTGTGTGCCCTCGTGGAACGTGTAGTGAGTCCAGTTTTGAGACGAATCAACATAGAGCTGTTAAGGGCACTGTGTGCCCTCGTGGAAGACCTGCGATATGCGGATGGGGTGGGAGGCGGGATGGATGGTGACTCAAGGTTAGTGACGCAGGGAGAGTGACGCAAGGAGGGTGAGTGTAGCCAGCGGGGTGTGGTATGGTGGTGCTTACAAAGAATCGATCCTGGAAGAGGTGATTGTAGGTCGATAGAGTCACACGCGTCAGATGAGCAGGCCCCAACGCCCAACGCGTATAGTGCCACGTCTCTGCGCGCACACATGCAGCGACACGCCATACAACATAATGGCACACATGCATAGCAACCAGTGCCACACAAGCCAAGCCATGGCATAACCACACATGGGAAATCCATGGCATAACACAGATGGCAACGCCATGCCATACACACACATGGCAACGCCATGCCATACACACACATGGCAACAGCATGCCATACACTCGCATGTCAACGGCAATGCCATACACACACATGGCAACGCCATGCCATACACACACATGGCATCGCCATGCCATACACACACATGGCAACGCCATGCCATACACACACATGGCAACGGCATGCCATACAAACACATGGCATCGTCATGCCATACACACACATGGCAACGCCATGCCATACACACACATGGCAACGGCATGCCATACACACACATGGCAACGCCATGCCATACACACACATGGCATCGTCATGCCATACACACACATGGCAACGCCATGCCATACACACACATGGCAATGCCATGCCATACACACACATGGCAACGCCATGCCATACACACACATGGCAACGCCATGCCATACACACACATGGCAACGCCATGCCATACACACACATGGCAACGCCATGCCATACACACACATGGCAACGCCATGCCATACACACACATGGCATCGCCATGCCATACACACACATGGCAACGCCATGCCATACACACACATGGCCTCGCCATGCCATACACACACATGGCAACGCCATGCCATACACACACATGGCAACGCCATGCCATACACACACATGGCATCGTCATGCCATACACACACATGGCATCGCCATGCCATACACACACATGGCAACGCCATGCCATACACACACATGGCAACGCCATGCCATACACACACATGGCACGCCATGCCATACACACACATGGGCATCGTCCATGCCATACACACACATGGCATCGTCATGCCATACACACACATGGCAATCGCCATTGCCATACACACACATGGCAATCGCCATGCCATACACGACACATGGCAACCGCCATGCCATCACACTAAGCATGTCAACTGGCAAGGCCATACACACACATGGCAACGCCAAGTCCATACACACACATGGCCATCGGCCATGCCATACACACACATGTGCAAACGCCATGGCCATACACAACACTGGCAACGGCAATGCCAGACAAACACAGGGGGAAAAACATGGCAACGTCATGCCATACCACACATGGCATCGTCATGCCATACAAAACACATGGCAACGGCCAATGCCAATACACACACATGGCAAATCGCCATGCCATACACACACATGGCAATCGTCATGGCCATACACACACATGGGCAACAGCCCAGTGCATAACACACACATGGCATCGTCATGCCATACACACATCATGGCCATCGCCATGCCATAACACCACATGGCAACGCCATGCCATACACACACATGGCAACGCCATGCCATACACACACATGGCAACGCCATGCCATACACACACATGGCAACGCCATGCCCATACAAACACATGGCATCGTCATGCCATACAAACACATGGCATCGTCATGCCATACACACACATGGCATCGTCATGCCATACACACACATGGCAACGCCATGCCATACACACACATGGCATCGCCATGCCATTACACACACATGGCAACGCCATGCCATACACACACATGGCATCGCCATGCCATACACAACACATGGCATACGCCATGCCACACACACACATGGCAATCGCCATGCCATACAACACATGGCAACGCCATGCCATACACACACATGGCAATGGCATGCCATACACACACATGGCAACGCCATGCCATACACACACATGGCAACGTCATGCCATACACACACAATGGCAACGCCATGCCATACACACACATTGGCAACGGCATGCCATACACACACATGGCAACGCCATGCCATACACACACATGGCAACGCCATGCCATACACACACATGGCAACGCCATGCCATACACACACATGGCAACGCCATGCCATACACACACATGGCATCGCCATGCCATACACACACATGGCAACGCCATGCCATACACACACATGGCAACGCCATGCCATACACACACATGGCATCGCCATGCCATACACACACATGGCAACGCCATGCCATACAAACACATGGCATCGCCATGCCATACACACACATGGCATCGCCATGCCATACACACACATGGCAACGCCATGCCATACACACACATGGCATCGCCATGCCATACACACACATGGCATCGTCATGCCATACACACACATGGCAACGCCATGCCATACACACACATGGCAACGCCATGCCATACACACACATGGCATCGCCATGCCATACACACACATGGCATCGCCATGCCATACACACACATGGCATCGCCATGCCATACACACACATGGCAACGCCATGCCATACACACACATGGCATCGCCATGCCATACACACACATGGCAACGCCATGCCATACACACACATGGCAACGCCATGCCATACACACACATGGCAACGCCATGCCACACACACACATGGCAACGCCATGCCATACACACACATGGCAACGCCATGCCATACACACACATGGCAATGGCATGCCATACACACACATGGCAACGCCATGCCATACACACACATGGCAACGCCATGCCATACACACACATGGCAACGCCATGCCATACACACACATGGCATCGCCATGCCATACACACACATGGCAACGCCATGCCATACACACACATGGCATCGCCATGCCATACACACACATGGCAACGCCATGCCATACACACACATGGCAACGCCATGCCATACACACACATGGCATCGCCATGCCATACACACACATGGCAACGCCATGCCATACACACACATGGCAACGCCATGCCATACACACACATGGCATCGCCATGCCATACACACACATGGCAACGCCATGCCATACACACACATGGCAACGCCATGCCATACACACACATGGCAACGCCATGCCATACACACACATGGCAACGCCATGCCATACACACACATGGCAACGCCATGCCATACACACACATGGCAACGCCATGCCATACACACACATGGCAACGCCATGCCATACACACACATGGCAACGCCATGCCATACACACACATGGCAACGCCATGCCATACACACACATGGCAACGCCATGCCATACACACACATGGCAACGCCATGCCATACACACACATGGCAACGCCATGCCATACACACACATGGCATCGCCATGCCATACACACACATGGCATCGCCATGCCATACACACACATGGCATCGCCATGCCATACACACACATGGCAACGCCATGCCATACACACACATGGCATCGCCATGCCATACCACCATGCAACGCCATGCCATACACCCATGGCATCGCCATGCCTACACACACATGGCATCGCCATGCCACACCACACACATGGCATCGCCATGCCTACACACACATGGCAACGCCATGGCCATACACACACATGGCAATGGCATGCCATACACACACATGGCAACGCCATGCCATACACACACATGGCAACGGCATGCCATACACACACATGGCAACGCCATGCCATACACACACATGGCAACGCCATGCCATACACACACAATGGCATCGCCATGCCATTCACACACATGGCAACGCCCATGCCATACACACACATGGCATCGCCATGCCATACACACACAATGGCAACGCCATGCCATACAAACACATGGCAGCGTCGTGCCATACACACACATGGCATCGCCATGCCATACACACACATGGCAACGCCATGCCATACACACACATGGCAACGCCATGCCATACACACACATGGCAACGCCATGCCATACACACACATGGCATCGCCATGCCATACACACACATGGCAACGCCATGCCATACAAACACATGGCCATCGTCATGCCATACACACACATGGCATCGCCATGCCATACACACACATGGCAACGCCATGCCATACACACACATGGCAACGCCATGCCATACACACACATGGCAACCCATGCCATACACACACATGGCAACGCCATGCCATACACACACATGGCAACGCCATGCCATACAAACACATGGCATCGTCATGCCATA